ATATATATAAAATTTAATAATTAATGTTATATATATATAACGTTAATTATTAAATTTTTATACATTTTATTATACAATTTGAAATAATTTTATTATGCAAAATCTCCATTTATTTATATACAGGGGAAAGTAAAAATTATCCACACTTTACTTTTTTCAATTTATTTACACAAAAGTAGGGTTTGAATAACTGTCATTTTTCTATATCTCTCCTCCCTTTTTGATGCACTTGGTCCAGCAGTCCACAAACTTGCATATTCCCTCCAGGAAGAAGGGTTTTGGTTTATGCACTGCTTACCACACTTCTTTGTCTTTAGAAAACAACAACCTTGTAAAGCATTTTTGAGCGATCCAAAGAGATGACAGAAGGAAAAGATGAGATCTGGGCTGTAGGCACAGTATTCCAGCACCTTGAAACCCAAATGGGTAATGGTTTCAATGGTCTGGCTGACCATGTATGAGTATGCATTGTCATGCAACAACAACACTTTCTTTGACAATAGACCTCAGCATTTGATGTGAATTGCTGACTTCAGATTGTTGGCCAGCAAATTACCAGAGAAATTGGATCACTTTGTTCCTCCTTAGTGTGCACTGCTAGTGGAGCAGTCATGTTTACACTGAAACAGAAACAAGAAAAATGACACTATCAACATGTGGCCGTTAGCCATGATATTGAATAGTTGTATGTTTTATTTGGATTAATCTTAGCCTTCTTTTCTGTTTCTTTATTCTAAGTTCCTTCTAGAACTTTCTTGTCTAACCCTTTTTGCCCTTGGGTAGGATTACCATTTCCACGAAAATAAAGTAGAACAAAAGAGGGAGTGAGGCCCTGGGGCCAAACGGACAGAGAAGGGGGTAAGTCTGGGTGAGAATCCCAAAGAGGTAGACAGAGAAAAGGTGTGTTCCAGATCTCGAGAAGGACAATCAAGGACTGTGAGGTGCCAAGAGATCAAAGAGAAAAGACTACGGACAGAAAACCTTGAGAAAAAACAATGAAGCCAGAAAGAGACAAAAGGTCTACAACAAGAAAAGGGTCACGAATAAAAGGGAGATTTGAAGTTGTCCCCTACCCAAGAGCATGTCGCTACAAAAACCCCGGGTATTTCCAGTCCTTCCTTTATCCTTTCCTATTCCTTCTAGTTTATCCATCTTCCTTAATTGTAAGACAGTTATAACTTAATCTGGCCCACGTTTGATTGTCTTGCATGTGAAAGTTAACTATTTGGAGGACACGTATTTAACGTCTATGTACATAAAATTTATAAAGTTGTAAAGTTGGGATCTGATGTAAAGAACGTGTTCAGAGAGAATTAAAATACTTTGTGCTGTGTATAATAATAATTTTTTTTTTTGGTACCTTTTTGCTCGCAGAATTAAGTACCTCTCGTTACAAACATTACAAAGGTCAAACTTCCATAATGTGACCACAGTAGTATCAACTGTAAGCATGTAGGTGCAGAAGGCAGTGTGACAAACCTAACAATCTGTTATGGCAAAAGTGTGGATAATTTTTTTTAACTTTCCTATGTATATAAAATAATACAATTCTATTAAATTACTGTTAGAAATAAAATGTTTAAAATGAATAAGGATTGAACAAATTATTCTAAAATGATCTGTAAATAATCTATACATTGTAAAGCTGTTATTATTAGCTATTTTTCCTTAAGTAAAACTCAATATTTTATAAATCAAACTAAATATGATGAAAATATTTGTTATTTGAACAAATTTTTAAATTCTGCACTGGTAAGAGTATTGTAGCACTCCCCCAAGGACATTTCAAGTGACATTTAGAACTTATGCTCTGCAAACAAGTTATATAGACACACACACACACACACACACACACACAATGTATCTACACTATGTGTTCACTAAACTCTATTCTTGTTTGGTAACATGATAAAATAAACTGCCTAACTCAGCATAAACTACACTGTAACAATACATTTTGAAATGGTTTTGATTTTACATTTTGAAAAATGGCAGTTAAAACATGATATAATTTAAAATAAGCCCCAAATACATTTTTACAATGTAACACACATTAAAGCACAAGATATATAAATAGATGTAGGCCTATACATCACTTGTATATAATTTAGTAAAAATATTTATACATTCATTAAATATACAGTAAAGTCCCAGAAACTTGACTTGATAATTCAACATTCCATAAAATTTGCAGTGTCATGAAAAAAGAAAAAATACACAAAATTAATTTTTACCTCTATAATTGAACACTAGGAGGATAAAATAAGTTATCATTCTTCACTGGAAAAACTCAATAACTGACATATATATATATATAAGGTGACCAAACATCCCGCTTTTGTCGGGACAGTCCCAATTTTTAACAATTTGTCCCACATCCTGCTGCTTTTTAAAAAAGTCCAGAGTTTTGGAAAGATTAAGCTTTTGTCAATTATGTGTCAAACTTATGTCTTATGCTTAAGATTTGTAAAGATCATTTTGTATTACATGTATCAGTAAATGTTTGATTTTCACGCACATGTATCAGTGTGCATGAAAATCAGAAATAAAGAATGCTTGTCTACAAAACCCTTTGTGTTGTGGCAAAGACCGACAGAAAATGGTTTGGGGCACGCAGCTACAGCAATGGAGCAGCACGCCCCATTTTTATTTCATTAACCATCCATAAAAGTATGTCAGTTAGTAGAACAAGGTGCAATAAATCGCACAAATTTTACGAATCACACCAAAAAGTTATATAGTACCTGCTTAGATTATTTAGAAAAGTGGACGGTACAATACATTACAATGACATTGAACATTTTCATTGGGTTATACTAAAACAAGAACTTAATTGGAAAGATGTGCAAAAATCATTCAATCACATTAGTCAACATTTTCCAGATAGTAATATTTCCAAAAACAATCTTTTTAATGAGGTATAATTATTTTTTAAAAAATATATTGATAAGGAAAAGGTTAAATCTTGGGCATTGGAAAAAATCTCAATAGGGAACAAATGGTTAGAAATATTTCATCATTTTGAAACAAACTATGTTCCATACAATAATGCATTAAAAATCGTGGAATATGCACTGTCCTTACCAGGAACCAATGCCACAACTGAATGTGTTTTTTTTCTACTGTAAATAAAGTGTGGACATTGGTAAATCACAATTAAGTGTCGAGACTTTGAAAGCCATATTATGTGTGAAATATAATTTAACAAATTCTTGCAAAAAATTTCATGACATTTTAAACAACAATACCACTCTACTAAAAAAGTTCACTCAACTGAGAAATATGCGAAAGAATAAAGAGTTTTTAAAGATTTATAATAGTGTTATATATTTATTATATTTGTAAATTTTACATGTTGAAATTGCAAAAATTGTATTGTATTATATTTTTTTTATTCTTTGATGACAAAATTTTGTTGCTCTGTAACAATTTTTTTCAACAAGACAACTACTTCCCCTGTCAATTTTGTCCTGCTTCATCAATGTTAAAATCTGGTCACCTTATATATATATTTGACAGTAAACAAATATTACAATCATTACATCATAAAGACTTAAGAATATCTTCTGTTTACAAGCTACTGAAATTTTTATTTTGCAGATATATATGTTCATTCTTTTACATTGTTCAGGAGTTAAAAGACACTGTATTTCATAATTCAACATGCAGATCAGCAATGAATTATCTATGTTTAAAAGACAATTTGAAAGGCGTACAGATTACGTGATAGAGTGGATTATGTACTGATTTAAATTAAGATGAGCAATTGTTTATTGTAATGATGTGACAACGCTCTCAATTTTAAGTGTCTTGTTCCTGTACATCATACTTTTCCTGTTAACAGCAGAGTCATGCCAGTTATCTATCTCCATTCAAGAGAAAATGTTTGAATTGAAATAATGTTACTTTTGATCCAAACTGATAGTTCATATATAGTTAATTGGTGTTTGCTGCCCTTAACCTTTCCATATCTCATCTAGATTTTCATCTATCTAACTTTATTCTAGAGATTAAGTAAGGACAGACAGGCAGATGCCAATGGGAATTTATAGGTCTGCAATTTTCAAAAATTGCAGCCCAATTACATACTTCTATCTGTAGAGCAACCATTACTCCAAAAAGGTACAGCATATGTTATGGCACAGGTTATGCAAAGGTTTCATTTTTATTCTAATAGTTTTCTGTAGGGTATATACTTATGATGGTCAAACTACAGCTCTTCTAGATCCTCACAGCAGCTTCCATATTCTCAGTCATAATCATTAAATATGTGGAAATACATATTCATTATATAAAATACAGTTTCAATAGAGAATGTGGTTCTCATATTTCTGAAAGGCAATATATGCCTCTTATGAAAAGTTTAGCCAGTCCTGATATATGCTACCACAGGTTATATGCACAAAAATACAGTATGTAATAAAAACATGTGGATTTGAATAAAAGTATTTTGTTAGAATCAATAAATCAAAATAAATATTCAATAATATTTGTCTTTAATATACACATTTGCTAGAACCAAAAAGTATATCTTTCTATTTAATCTTTGTTACATTTTTATTTTATGTACTGTACAGTACTTACTAAATCTTTTAAATTTGCAGAATATTATAGAAAAACTTACAACAGATCTCTAACATCTTGTTCAGCTTCTTGCACAATTTTAGCAAATGCAGCAGATCTGTGACTAAGTTCTGTAATAAAAATAATTCAAATAAAATTTAAACAATATTTATGTTCATAAAAGACATATTAATTGCATTAAGTTAATAATTACAAAGCAATAATACAGTAATAATTATTAGAAATAATTTACAAATAAAAAAAAATTTAACACAGTTAATATTTAAAAAATAATGTGGAAAATGTATAGAAAATTTCTAACTTGTACTAATTTACAGAATTACATATGCAATATGATTAATATTTAAAATTTTAATAACAAAGATATGGTATTTGTTCAATTTTTAAAGAACTAAAAGTTCAATTTTAGTAATAACAGTTCTGTTTTCGTAAATTCCTATTTTTGTTAAATTCATAAAATTGCAAAATAAAATGTTTTGCATTAAATAAATATCTTACAGATCTTGCATGTGCAATAGATTGGCTTAGGAAAGAAAAGTATCAGCCTGCCATCTGGAAAACTCAGATTTAAGTGTTGGTAAGAAATATCAGTAATTTTTCTGTTGTGGATATATCAGATCCCATCCCTCACTACCTACCTGCTTCTATTATGGGCCTGGCTGAATCCATGACAAGCATGGAAAAAAGAGCTATTTAATGGCTACAGGACAAAGTTAAATAATAAAAGAGATTCTTTTTGTAAGATCAAGCAGTTTTACAGATACTTTATAAAAGAATAAAAATATGTATGAATTGAAATGCTTCTGAAAGTGAGCAATTTTTTGTGGTCATATTTTGTATATATGTTAATTTAAGTTTAGTTTTCTTCTTTATTCTTTGTTCCATTCTTATATTCCTTGTAGAATTTTCTTTCCTAACTCTTTCCCCTTGGGTGGTGATGACCAATTCTTAGAACAAAACAAAAGAAAGAGATGCTGAGAGCTAAGGAGTGGAGTAACAGACACTCTTGGCTTGGACATCGATATGAAAGGAGGTGAAAGGTTTGTACTCCAGGTCGTGTTTCAGCAGTGACTAGAGATGAAAAGAGGCCCATACAAGGTACTAAGGCAAGTTTGGCAAGGAGAGATCACCCTTTTTTCCAAGAAAAAAAAAACCAGGGTTGGCATCCCCACCTAAGATTAACATGAAGCCCAAATACCCACGTTCTTCTAATCCTATTTCTTATATTTTCTATATCTATCACCTCCCTTCTTTCATAGTATTAAGTTAGTTTTTAAGCCTTAATCATAGTTTGTCTTACTTCTATCAAATATTATTGGTACATACTTTTTATGTTGCGAACCTGATACCAATTGTCATTCCCCACTTTTGTTACTACCAAAAAAACTATTATAATTTTGATTGAGGAGGTTGGAATCCTAAAGAACCTTATTCATCACACACAAAAATAAAGATATTGTTTCTTTTTATGTATATTTGTATGATTCCTTTTTGTCGAGGTACATACTTTCACATGTACATCTCATTTTAAAAATTAAAACATTTTCTGTGAATTTTGCAGGTCTTTGAGTTACTTCATTTTATTAGGATAGAACAAGCTAATCATACTACTAAATTAAATTCATCATAATAAAGTTTTAATAAAACATGATATACAGTATTAGATGTTGTAACTATATCCTTCATTTAACTGCTTTCTTAAGAAGTTACATATAATCCTAAATTGCTTTTCCAGAGTTCACATCTTTAGTATTCTAGCACTTTTGGGTTCCTATAATCTATCTTCAGAGTTATTAAAAAAACAATTTTCTTTTTAATATTTTAGATTTGAAAACATTAGGTTTTTGTAAATTACTGTGCATATTTCTAACCTGTTAAAGTTAACATAGTCACTTTAACAAATGAAGCAAGCAATATATCTTTAACGGTGGTAAAGTTGGAGAACAGTAATGATACAACACGTGTTAGACTGTAGAGACAAGGATTTCCCCCATCTGGCAATTTTACTTAATCTTTTGCACTATCTGCTGGTATCATAGTTTACCTCCCTTGTTTGTTTATCCCATCTTTTCTATCCAAGACTAGCATTCCTCTTACACTTGTTCATATCCAAAGTTGGTCCACTAATCAGATCTTTTAGCAAGCTCATTATGGGTTCACAATACCAAGCTCATAATGGGATGAGGGACAGTGCCCAATATATCCAAACAGACCACTTCCCAAAAAGTTCCTAACCTGTCCAATTTGATCCTAGTCCCCAAAGTGGTAGGTTGCTGTCTTAAAAACTTCCAAATAAGAAAAAAAACTTGGAAGACAAGTTAAAAATTAAAAGATTTTTCCAATTTAAAAAAAATTACATATATTTAAATCAATATTATAAAGAATTTAAACAAAAGCAATAAAAGTTGTGTATGTCCTCACCCATAACACTCATTCCTTCTCCATTATAATTAAGCAGTTCCTGTTTCACTCTTTCTAGTACCTACAAATTAAAGTAAAAAGCATTCATTAATAACAATGTTATTGTGAATAAAGCAATTTTATTCTAGAAACATTACAAACAATTTAAAGTTTAAAATTAGTTAATATTCAACATCACATAATTAGCTGAAAAATATTTATGCAATGATATCTAAATGAGGACTTCTATTAAAAAGGTGTTTAGTCTAATAATTCCATGCACAGAAAGCTAAAAAATCATCAATTTCAGCACCTCCATTGTAGACCTAGCAAATTTATAATGGATGTGGAAAAGATTCTCTTAGTGCTACTTTTTTTTTAAAACTCTTTCCGCCCTGTGGGCACTAAGAGGGCCTCTTTTTAGCAAGCCCATTATGGGTTCGGCAAGGCCCATAATGACCCATACAGATTTGATCCTGGGTTCCCCAGAGAGGTAGACTGCCACCTTAACTGCTCGGTCATCTGGGCTCTCTTAGTGCTACTGTGTAAAACCTACTTCCAATTATGGAGTAAATTGCCTCAAAATCTTCAATTATAGAGCAAATTACCACTAAAACCTCCAAGTATGGTAGAAAATACCTCTAGATTGTTATGAGTTTCAAAAAACTGTAAACTTATTACCAACTTAAACAACAATACAGCAACAACTACAACTACTGTATCATTCAAAACATTAAACCTTTTATCTAAATAATTTAAAATGTTAATAGGAAATGTCATTTTATGTCAGAGCCCTCAGTTTTGCATTCACATGCCCATACTCCTACTACCGCTGCCTTTTCTTCAGCCAATTTAATCATTTGTTTTGAAGAAAAAATTTTAACATGTTTTTCTTAATTTCAATCTATACTTAAGCGAAAATAGATTCTTTTTCCTTCACTTATAATTAAATTCTCTAAATTTCGGGAGAAATTCGTAAATCTGGTAAGTAATTACAATCGCGTGCCTTGTTTTTTTCCTTCTACCATATACTTAGTCATAATCATTAAATATGGTGGAAANTAATTAAGTAAGTATCGTAATTAATAAAATATTAGCGTGTAATTAAAGCTACGAGCCTCTGATCGGTAACGTTTCTACCATAAGGACATAGTAAGATGTTTCGTTTTCGACTACGAGTGACGTCAAATAAGCAACCAATGAGAAGCGTTTCTTCTCTATGAGGCAACCTGATAATCTAAGACCTTGATTACAATCGCGTGCCTTGTTCTTTTTTATTCTAAACAATGGCAATTAAAACTTAAAAAGGAAGTTTTACTTTCGGTTTTGAATTTTATTAATTTACATCGAATTTTTTATAAACACAGAGAAATAAATGCCCTTAGAAACAAACCTCTAAATCAAGAGGTTAAATCTTGAAAACGGTTACTTTGCTTAGTGCCCAAAGATGGGAGTTAAATCAGTATACTTTCTTTAATTTTATTTAATAGATAAAACTGAAGAGTTTATTGTGTACTGACTGGAGAAAAATTATTATTAAAAGTGTGTGATGGGTTATTTTCACAAAGCAAAAGGAAGAAAACCATATTGCAATGTGGCCTTGGCACAACTGGAACTAATTGTGCAAACGTACTGTACAATCATCCCTGTACTACTATGGATGAAGAGTAAACTTTTATATATTGTATATACATTGTGTACAAGCCATATTCCTGTACTTGGTTTATTTATTTACAATGGTAAGGGAAAGGCAGAGCCTCTGGTCCCCTCTTTGGTAACGCCACAGCACCGAAACACTTAATTTCAACACACTCGAAAAATGTTTTTATATTACATATTATTATTATTATTATATTAGATTGTGTGTTGTACTGTACGTTATTAAGAAAACTTTGTAAGAAATAATTTTCACGTGAACTGCGATAATGTGGATCCTAATCTCTATGAGGCAACCTGATAATCTAAGACCTTGATTACAATCGCGTGCCTTGTTCTTTTTTATTCTAAACAATGGCAATTAAAACTTAAAAAGGAAGTTTTACTTTCGGTTTTGAATTTTATTAATTTACATCGAATTTTTTATAAACACGAGAAATAAATGCCCTTAGAAACAAACCTCTAAATCAAGAGGTTAAATCTTGAAAACGGTTACTTTGCTTAGTGCCCAAAGATGGGAGTTAAATCAGTATACTTTCTTTAATTTTATTTAATAGATAAAACTGAAGAGTTTATTGTGTACTGACTGGAGAAAAATTATTATTATTAAAAGTGTGTGGTGGGTTATTTTCACAAAGTAAAAGGAAGAAAACCACATTGCAATGTGATTTTCTTCCTTTTACTTTGCACGTTTGCACAATTAGTTGCACTTGTACAGTACGTGCAACTGCAACGTAATTGTGCAAACGTGCTTTGTACTTTTGTACAATTGTGCAAAAGTACAAAGCACGTTTGCACAATTAGTTGCACATTGCAATGTGCCAAGGCCACATTGCAATGTGGCCTTGGCACAACTGGAACTAATTGTGCAAACGTACTGTACATTCATCCCTGTACTACTGTGGATGAAGAGTAAACTTTTATATATTGTATATACATTGTGTACAAGCCATATTCCTGTACTTGGTTTATTTATTTACAATGGTAAGGGAAAGGCAGAGCCTCTGGTCCCCTCTTTGGTAACGCCACAGCACCGAAACACTTAATTTCAACACACTCGAAAAATGTTTTTATATTACATATTATTATTATTATTATATTAGATTGTATGTTGTACTGTACGTTATTAAGAAAACTTTGTAAGAAATAATTTTCACGTGAATTCCAATTAAAAAATAATCTGGCAACTCGTTCTACGTGAAGAGTTCTACTTGAATTTGTTCCATGAAAGAAAAAAATAGAACATTGTGAATTTTTATCTTTAAGTGACTTTCATCATTTAATAACAGAAAATACGAATTATTTTAAATTGTCGTGACAAAATGTCGTATTTTATGACGATTTATTTTATCTTATTCTTCTGTTTAACCGGTTTTAATGATAAAATGGAAGCGTCCGTTCCTCGAAGGTATCCCGTTCCATTTCTTAAGAACTATGAAATTCTGTATCTTTCCAGATCTAAGAACGAAAGCAACATTAAAACAGGAAGACAGATGATGACATTCAGAAGAGAGCGTAGTTTAAATAAGAAGAAAGTAAATTTAGAATTTTTTGCCTTCCGTCGCCATTTTCGTATTGTCGCAGAACCATCAATGGAGGATGTGGTGGCTGTGGACACATTAGTACAATTTTACGATGCAAACAGCAGTGAAATATCAAAACTAAATGATCTTGGAGTTGAAGTGTACAAGGGTGTACTAATAGATGTTCCTCAATCATTTGTAATTGGATATTTTAACAATGGAATCTTTCAGAGTGTCATTCAATGGCAAGAAATATTATATAATATTGAACCCGCATCAAATTATATTAACGATCAAGTAAATTTTGATGCTGTTATCTATAGAGATTCGGATATAATTGCTGATGAAAGTAATTACTTAAAATGTAATAATTTGGAAAGAATTAAGAGGCATATAATTAACAGTAAATCTTCATTTCGTAATTGGAGAAACAGAAACGACAGGAATAATTTTAGTTTTACTAAAAAAGTTTGTACGATAGAAATGGTTATTGATCCTACATTATATAATGTTGATGGAAATTCCATCAATTATTTGTTACACGAAATGAGCGCTTATGTACAGTTTGCAGATAAGATTTTTCGTAATGCAGACTTCAACAGAAATTCTTTACCAGATAATATTGGCCTTCAGTTGAAAAAGATTACAGTTTTTAAGGACTGGAAAAACGAAAATTACCCTTTCAAAGCTACAGTTATGCAAAAATATGCGAGAGCTTCAACTTTGTTACAAGAAACTGGAAATTATCAGAATGAGTTTTGTTTAGTACACTTTTTTGTTCATTGTTTCTTCAAACATTTCAGAGGAGGGATAGCACGAATAGGATCGATAAGTGGAAATGGCATTTGTATGAATTCCAAAGTAGATAATATCTCTAGAAATACTGGAATTACTTCGACTAAAATCGGTGCTAGAATGAGACCCCGTTTAGAAATCGCATTGTCATTCGCTCATGGTATAGGGCATGGTTTCGGTGCATTTCACGATTACAATACGAATTCGAATATTTCTAAGAATACAGAGACATTCCTTATGCACAATATTATTAATCCAAATTCAAAAACTAAAATATTTTTATCTAATTATAGTATAGAGTCTATATCATCGTTGATTCATAGAAGAGGTCAGTATTATCAATTTTTAACATTTATATTTAAGAATGTTCCTGTTTAAGTACTTATTTTATTTAGGTGCTTGGTGTTTGAGTAAGCTAGAAATACCAAAATGTGGAAATGGTATCACTGAATCAGGAGAAGAATGCGACTGTGGCCCGAAAGAGAACTGCGATAATGTGGATCCTAATTGTGCTCCTGAAGGAAGTGTGAATGATATACCTTGCTTCATAAGAAGAAGCCAAAATAAAAGTTGTAGCTCCAGAGAATCGCCTTGTTGTACTCTGGATGGGCAAATAATATCAAGAGAGGAGTATAAAATATGCACTTCTCATTTGGAGCAATGCTTAGATGTAGTTTATTGTGATGGATGGTCGCCCGAATGCGAAAGAAGAACTTTAATATCGAATGGCGAATATTGTGCTGGCTATTCACGAACTTGTCTTAATGGAATTTGTAATGCAAGTGTTTGTTATCATCGTTTTCACTTGGAAGTAAGCTGCTTTTCAATCCAGCTAGGCATTTATTTTTTCATACATTATTATTAAATATTTAAAAATTATAATAGTAATATTTTGAACAATAATGTATCAATTTTTCTTTTAACTCAATAATGATTATATATTATCTGAAATTTTTTATATTTAGGAATGCGAATGTAGATCTAATCCGTGCGATATCTGCTGCTTAAAGGATAAGAAATGTCAGTCTCTTACACAGTTACGAGTAGGAGTTGCTGAAAATATTCTCTTTAGGAAACATCTTGGAGAGTTTTGTCTGGATGGGAGCGGATATTGTAATCAGTAAGTAATTGTTTAAATATACAATAAAATAAAAATGGAAGTAAATCGCAAAATCGAATCATAAAACTAAGCTTATGCTAATTTTAAGCTTTTTCGGGAATACGTAGAATCGCGGGCCTTTCTCACTTGCAAAGTGCACAAATCGATAAATCCGCTAATGTATGTACAGTACTACATATAGGATGTTCATAAAAGAATGGTGAGATTTCAGATTTAATTCCTTCAGTTTTCGATGAAATGTAATTTACACATTCTCGATTTAGCACTCAGCTGTCCAAATTTCATCTCGTATAGGAAGAGGCGACTCTAGGATATACGAAGCCCTAGGCAAAATTTATTTTTGCGGCCTATTAAAAGAGCGATGGGTATAGAGGATAGACTTACTTTGTTTACAATAATATGAACATTTTTAATATAGAAACAGATAGTAAAACACACAATAAAGTAATAAAAATACGTAGGCTACAATAGTTTTGCAATGAATTGGAAAATTCAATAGGTATACAGAAATTCATCTACAAAACTGTTCNGGGAATACGTAGAATCGCGGGCCTTTCTCACTTGCAAAGTGCACAAATCGATAAATCCGCTAATGTATGTACAGTACTACATATAGGATGTTCATAAAAGAATGGTGAGATTTCAGATTTAATTCCTTCAGTTTTCGATGAAATGTAATTTACACATTCTTAATTTATCACTCAGCTGTCCAAATTTCATCTCGTATAGGAAGAGGCAACCCTAGGATATACGAAGCCCTAGGCAAAATTTATTTTTGAGGACTGTTAAAAAGAGCGATGGGTGTAGAGGATAGACTTACTTCGTTTACAATAATATGAACATTTTTAATATAGAAACAGATAGTAAAACACACAATAAAGTAATAAAAATACGTAGGCTACAATAGTTTTGCAGTGAATTGGAAAATTCAATAAGTATACAAAAATTCATCTACAAAACTGTTCTCCTGCTTTTATTAATCAATTATAAAAAAAGCCAGTTCTATAGCAACATCTCTTTCAGTGGTCAAGATCAAAAATGAAGAAAGTCTCTTGACACATTGTTAATCTGAGTAGTTCAGGATTAATTTTAACTTTGAATGTGATCGTTCTGCAGATGCAACAGATAGCAGTACAATATTTTCAATTTTATAAATTAAATACTGAAATAGACTACTAAATCTGCAAGGCCTCTGAAGGCGCGAGACTCTTGCTATCGCCTCTTTCGCCTTTATGTAGGTATCGCCTCTGCGTATAGGGTGATCAGTTTCTCTCTCGTAGGCCCGCTCTTGGCTGGATTGGACGTGCTGCAGACACAATCACCTTATCCAAAGTGGACAGACCGCTCCCTGGACCTAACTGTACGTAATTCTTCCTATTGGAATTCGTGAAAAATACAATTCACATACCCTAATGCTCCAATCCCTCCGAGATTTCCGGAAAAGAAGTAACCGTGCTGTGGAGGATGTGATAATGGGCAGGCTCGATGGGATCTGGAAGGAATTTGAGTACTGCTTGGATGTGTGCCGGTGATGAAAAGCGTGCACACAGATAGACTTTGAATAATGCACATAATATTGGGCAGTTGCAGTTCCGAATGAGACATGCCATGACTATGATTAAGAATATAGAAAATACACGTCTGTGCAACCTTGCCATTCTTTTACGAATACTCCCGTATATGTGATACTTCGATAAATAAGAGGGGTATTGTTATTTTTTAAAAAATAATATTTTGATTAGAAACAAATTTAAATTAATAACCCGTTGTTCTTTTTCAGTGATTCGGAATGTATACTTTTCAAGCCAAAATATCATCCATTTGATGTCATAGAAAATTATCTCTCTCTAATTTTCTTCGTCATTCTTCTCTTGTTAGTTTTAATTTGTTTAATTATATTAGGAGTAATTAGTGTTAGACGTTATTTGAAGATTCGTTTAGTGAAGAATTTTCAAAATTTGCTGAAAACATTTGAAAATAATTTTCGTGAAGACTTAAATTTATTAGAAGAACGCAATAGAAAGAAATTTTTACGTCTAGCTGTATTATTCCCGACATTATCTCTTCAAAATATCTCAAATATGCTGAAGAAATTTGACGACGAGCATATTATAGCTGTGGAAATAATATTAAATGGGATACCAATAAGAAATAACTTTTCTAAAAATCTAGAAATCCCAAGTAGAAAACCTTACAAAGTTTTAAAAACATTAAAATCTGATTCTGATTTAATTCCATCATCAAAAGTTACACTGACTGAAACTCTTGATAAAGAGATTGATTCCATTCGTATTATTTCTCCGAAGTCTGATGATTCCGAAATTGTAATTGATACTGATGAAATCAAACATGAATCAAGATACGATAAATTTAAAAATATTTTAAAAGAGAAAACAAGCAAAGTAAAAAACATTATGAAAACCAAACCTTACAAAATTCCAAAATCACACGAACCATCTATTTTTAAAAGATTATTTGCTTCAAGAAAGATTGTCCCCGGGAAAATGGAATCTGAAGAGTCTTTACCATCATTATCGCATCTTAAAGTAACAGAAGAAACAAAATTTCCAGAAGAAGATGATAACGAAAAGTCTCTATCACCAATTGTAGAATATGAAGAATCTATATTTAAAGAAGAATTACCATCAAAATTATCCAAAGATATTTCAGAAATTATTCCTGAGAAAGCAGTTTCAGACGCATATGAAGAAGAGCAACGACAGAAATATATAGATAGAGTTTCTGAAATTTTATCACCTGATATTAAAGTTACACCTCAAAGATCTAAAGAAGTGTTTACAGTTAAAGATGAAGTAAAAAATGAAGAAATTAAATCTGCAACTGAGCCATTAGAACATGAAGAACTTGGCACAAAAATGACACGAGAGGAGCTTGAACAGGATAAAACGATCAGCGAAGAATCTAAAACGATATCGTTTATACCTAAAGAAATTTTACCAGAAGACGAGGAAAGCCAGAAACCTGAAATTATTAAAATTAAACCTACTGGAAAAAGTATAATTAAAAGATTGTTTTCTAGCGATACGTTTGAACCATCGTCTGCTGAAGTAACAGATGAAGAAATTTCCCCTGATAAAACTAGAACTACACCGAGTACATCTGCTGAGCAAGAACGATTAATATCACTTTCAGAAATCCCTGCAACAAGTAAAGATTATTTACAAAAAAAGCCTGTTGAAAAAATTTCGAAACGAAAATCTGAAGACAAAGAAAAAAGAGAATTTCCTTTTTTTCGAAAGCGAAAAGTTTTATTGAAAAGCAGTGAGACTCCTTCATTTGAAGATGCCACAAAAGTTAAAAGAAAGGGCATTATCGATTACATTCCAAAATTTTTACAATATTATGTAGCTCCCAAAAGAAAGGGAAAAGTAGTCTTTCCGGATGAGAGTAAATCATCTACTGAAACATACAATGAAATCATATCTAAAATAGATAAAGAATCTGATTTAACACCAATCATTCCTGTATCACCGATGATAAAATCTGAACTTGAAGTTACTGAAATAGATGAACTCCAAAAGCCTGAAGATAAAATTACAAAACCTGATAAATATTTCTCTGATATAAGCAGCCTTGAGCCGGATAAAGAAAGACGATTAAAAGTTACTAAATTTAAGAAAGGAATTCCATCTGATACAATAGCATTTCCCGAAAAAATTAGTGAGCCTGCCAAAAAAGTTAAATTCGAAGATAAGAAGTACTCTCCTCAGGATGTTCGAGAAATTAAATCCCGATACAAAAGATCCAGGCGTGATAAAGATTCATCAGAATCATTGCACAAACGAACTATTCGAAGAAGAAGAAGTATATCTGAAAAACCATCAGAAGATAAACGAAAACAATATAAGAAGAGACGTACAGATATACAATTATGGGATACATCAGATGAAACTGAAGAGGAAGAGGCAATTTCTGAAAAACAGAAAGATGTACTTCCGCCCATAACTCGTAAATCTAAAGTAAAACTCTATAAATTTAGAGGGTGGCCCATACCTTCATCGTCAAGCGGATCAGACGAACAGTTTGAATCATCATTGTTCGGACCTAAAAGTTTCATTCGGACAATTACTGAACCTTTCAGCAATGGAGTACCTGTAATATCCGATGATTCCCTAGAAACTGTTAAAATCATCTCTGATAAAATAAGCAAACCTGTGATAAGTGAACCTAAAACACCCTTAAATGTCATCGTTGATATTCCAGTTTCAACACAAATGTCCGAACCTTCAACTTCTACAGGGATTAGTGAAGATAGGTCTGTAGATTCACGTGTAACACTCAAAAAGAAGAAAATACCAAAATACAGATCCCAAATTAGACAGAAACAATATTCTAGAAGACTTTCACCAAGACCATTATCTCCAAGAAGTACGTCATCCAGAGAAAGAAAAGAAAAATTAAAGGTAAAACCAAAGAGAAAGATGAAACGTCGTTATGCAAAGCCGAAACAAAGAAACTGGTCGAAACTGTAATATGAGGAAATTTCTAAAACACTTTTATATTAGTAAATAGATGCTTAATGAATAAAAACACTCACAAACCTGACGATTATTCTAGATATCAATTTTGTAATACATTTAAGTAATAATTTATATAGAAATCAAATATAAATTCACATTCAAATAAGTGTTATTGTATAAACAAATAATTGTTATTGTATAAACAAACAATTGTCTAGCATCATTTTTATATTTATATTGTTATTATAAATAAAATTTCAAATTTCATTCACATTTTTATTTATTTCTTTTTACAGCATTTTAGATTTGTTTAAAGTAATTTTTTTTACTCTTTCCGCCCTGTGGGCACTAGGAGGGCCTCTTTTTGCAGGCCCATTATGGGTTCAGCCAGGCCCACAATGGGGCTGCCGGGTGGTGAGGGACGGGGCCCGACATATCTGAATGGACCACCCCCGACAAATTTCTGGGGATTTTTTCGACCCGTTCGGATTTTACCCGGATCCCCCAGAGCGGTAGGCTGCTACCTTGGCCGCTCGGCCATCCGGCCTGTTTAAAGTAATTGAAGACCTTAGAGCAGTAATGAGTAAGCGGTGTGCGTGCCGCTTGCAGCCTTCAAGATCCTAATTTGTTGCCACTACGTAAGAAAAAAAAATGCATGCGGCCCTCACTCAGAAAGTTTGCTCATCACTGCTTACGGCAACAAAAGGTTAAATCACATTTTATAAAAACAGAAAATATGAATGCTAAAATTAAAGTGATAGCAATGGGCAATTGAGGCAATAAGAGAAATCTCTTATCAAGAACTTTGAAAAACTATTGCATTTATCTGAAAAATTTATTTAATATGATATGATAGTGGTATATAAATCGTGACGTAGTCAATCGATTAAACTTATGAATTTTAATCTTATCAGAACACTTTGATTGCAGCTTTCACTCCTATTACTTTTTAAATGTTAGAAAACTTTATCTAAATTCTATATGAATCATCATTCCACTAGAATATAATTTAACTTGATCGGATAGTTCAAATAGAGATGTAATTGGTTTAGTATATAATTTTTAGTATTACTAAAATTAATTTAAAAATAATTTTATAAAAAGCAGTTTGAAGTGATCATGGTCGCGAATATCACCGAGTTGTCTACAGTAATAGATCTACACACAAGTTTGAATTTGAAAATTACATAATTTGATGATAATGCCCTTTGCATTGCCAAATCGTACACTTCATTAATTTCATGAATACTGAAAGGTTTCTCTATTTACTAAGTTATTTACAGGAAAGAGTCGTTCACAGGTATTTATTGGCGCTTTAAGAGGTAGCGCTATTTAGGAGGAGGTTATATCAAGGTTTGGTTGTTTATAAATGTCATTTTACCGATAAGCGAATTTGAGAAAGTAGAGATTAAAAATTTACATTTCTTTAACTATAGGAATTTTCTAATTATTAATTGAAATAATGTAGGCATATTAATACAATTTACACTAGAGTCAACGAAAGAATAAATATCAAATACGGTGTTTTTTTAATTAAAAATTATTTTAAATTCAGTGTATGGATTATAACTATTGATTGAAAAAAAGAAGAATTAAATATTTAATTTAAAACGCGACTATACTGAATAGCAAATTCAATCTTTATATATCATATACTTTATTTGCACTCTTAGACAAATCCATCATTCTTACATTAATTATAATTGGTGCAATCCAAGTACCAATCCAAGTAATAGTACGCAACCAAGCGAGCAAGCCAGTAACATATTTCGATTCATAGGAAATGAACTACGTCCTTGATTTCTTTTAGTAATGGCTTGTCACCTAGAAGCAGCAAATCTATACACAATTACTTTCGTGTTTTTCAGTGTGACTGATATGGGATTTCGCGTGGCGAGGCGATAAAGGCACCAGTCTGCCGCTCTGGAGGAGCGGCAGACTGGTGCCTTTTAGAAATTTTCGTGAATGATGGAGCCAATTCATAGGCAAGCCTATTCTTTCATGGACACGAAAAAAGCTCCTTAGTGCTCATAAGACGGAATTATAAGAAGTACAATTGACGTAATTAAAATTTGTAAATGCGCATCAAAAACCACCTCAAAATTTAAGTGGCTAATAAAAATTATGTTTTATACTAGAAAATACATGTACAGAGCTATGCTTTGAAATCAATTAAAAGCGCATTGATAACAACAGTATCAGTTTAAAATTATAAAATGATAAAACTGGTTACAAGGTCGTTGTCTCAGATATGTTACCGAATGACTTTTTTTTCTAACCTGAATTCTTTTATACAAGCGAAAAAATTATTTATTTTCAAAATNTTCAAATTTCATTCACATTTTTATTTATTTCTTTTTACAGCATTTTAGATTTGTTTAAAGTAATTTTTTTTACTCTTTCCGCCCTGTGGGCACTAGGAGGGCCTCTTTTTGCAGGCCCATTATGGGTTCAGCCAGGCCCACAATGGGGCTGCCGGGTGGTGAGGGACGGGGCCCGACATATCTGAATGGACCACCCCCGACAAATTTCTGGGGATTTTTTCGACCCGTTCGGATTTTACCCGGATCCCCCAGAGCGGTAGGCTGCTACCTTGGCCGCTCGGCCATCCGGCCTGTTTAAAGTAATTGAAGACCTTATAGCAGTAATGAGTAAGCGGTGTGCGTGCCGCTTGCAGCCTTCAAGATCCTAATTTGTTGCCACTACGTAAGAAAAAAAAATGCATGCGGCCCTCACTCAGAAAGTTTGCTCATCACTGCTTACGGCAACAAAAGGTTAAATCACATTTTATAAAAACAGAAAATATGAATGCTAAAATTAAAGTGATAGCAATGGGCAATTGAGGCAATAAGAGAAATCTCTTATCAAGAACTTTGAAAAACTATTGCATTTATCTGAAAAATTTATTTAATACGATATGATAGTGGTATATAAATCGTGACGTAGTCAATCGATTAAACTTATGAATTTTAATCTTATCAGAACACTTTGATTGCAGCTTTCACTCCTATTACTTTTTAAATGTTAAAAAACTTTATCTAAATTCTGTATGAATCACTATTCCACTAGAATATAATTTAACTTGATCGGATAGTTCAAATAGAGATGTAATTGGTTTAGTATATAATTTTTAATATTACTAAAATTAGTTTAAAAATAATTTTATAAAAAGCAGTTTGAAGTGATCATGGTCGCGAATATCACTGAGTTGTCTACAGTAATAGGTCTATACACAAGTTTGAATTTGAAAATTACACGATTTGGTGATAATGCCCTTTGCATTGCCAAATCGTACACTTTATTAATTTCATGAATACTGAAAGGTTTCTCTATTTACTAAGTTATATTTACAGGAAAGAGTCGTTCACAGGTATTTATTGGCGCTTTAAGAGGTAGCGCTATTTAGGAGGAGGTTATATCAAGGTTTGGTTGTTTATAAATGTCATTTTACCGATAAGCGAATTTGAGAAAGTAGAGGTTAAAAATTTACATTTCTTTAACTATAGGAATTTTCTAATTATTAACTGAAATAATGTAGGCATATTAAAACGAAAACATAACTGAAATGGAAACTCTATATGTTTCAGTTCTGTTTCTGAGTTTCTGTTTTCAGTTAATGTGGAGTCCAAGCTTAACAGTTCTGTTATGCTCAAGAGCGCGAGAAAGTCCAAATCAAAGTGCTTCAAGAATATGGACATTACAAAATTTGAAACCGAATGAAAATCAAACAGAAAGGCCTGGATGACTACAGAAATTATGACAAGTGTGTATGGCTTGAACAGCTGAACGGAAAGATGTTGCACCAAAACAGAAAAGTACTTTTGTTTTTTGACAGTGCTGAATCCAGATAACCAGCTCGAAAATGTCAAGATATTTCTACCGTCGAATGTCACTTTACTCTTTGAATCTTCGTATTCAGGCGTTATTCAAAGTTTTAACGTCAAATATAGACAATTGGTTATGAAGCACATAATCGTAGATGTAGGTCGTGGAGCATCTCTATAAATTCTGACAAACAACTTAATATCTTCCAAGCAATTTCGTGAATTTCAAGTGCTTGTCGACACGTTCTTCCATTAACAATTCTCTTATTTCTTCAAAAAAAAAAAAGGATTTCCATTTCCTTCCAGCAATGAGGATGCTTACAGTTTTGCGGTAACTATTAGAAATGATGTAAACTTATTTCTTTATCGAGACAAATGAGTATTTTATTATTTTAAACCTATTGGGAAAAAACTGAATTCCTTTATAAATAATAAGAAGATNCGTAAATGATGGAGCCAATTCATAGGCAAGCCTATTCTTTCATGGACACGAAAAAAGCTCCTTAGTGCTCATAAGACGGAATTATAAGAAGTACAATTGACGTAATTAAAATTTGTAAATGCGCATCAAAAACCACCTCAAAATTTAAGTGGCTAATAAAAATTATGTTTTATACTAGAAAATACATGTACAGAGCTATGCTTTGAAATCAATTAAAAGCGCATTGATAACAACAGTATCAGTTTAAAATTATAAAATGATAAAACTGGTTACAAGGTCGTTGTCTCAGACATGTTACCGAATGACTTTTTTTTCTAACCTGAATTCTTTTATACAAGCGAAAAAATTATTTATTTTCAAAATTATTAATTATAGTTATATTTTATAAATAATAATAATTATTATTATAGTCACATTCTTAATAAAATAAATATTTCAATAATATTTAACCGATTCAATTTTTAAATAATTTAATTAATTAAAATTGCTCAAATGTCATCACTAGTAGAGGGCGCGACCGTAAAAGCAGCCGCTCTACCGCTCTTATGCAAGTAACGATGAGAGAAGTTTTTTTTCTTTTCAAAAAAATGTAAAATTTATTTTGAAATATAAGTTCAAAATATTAGATTTTTTTATATACAGATTGATTTATAATAATAAAATAATAACAATTCTGTGTCAGCATTACTTTGTAATTTAAATTATACAATTGATGAAATTCAAATTACGTCATAATTCCGTAGTGTTATCAAGTGTTACAATACGTAAGCATTATAATCATTTATAATAATAATTTAACCCTTTAAAGCAGGAAATTTACGTTGATATTGTTCTCAAATTACAGACAGACAAAAAACAACTAGAAAACACAATGGAAAATAGCAAACTTATTGTAATTTGATGTTTATTAATTTCTCTAAAATAATTAATGCATTGTTAATGGACACGCTTTAATCAAATGCATTTCAAATTATAAATTATTTTTATACATTTAAATTAATTAATGATCAAAATTATCTCTCTTACCTCCGTGGGAACTTTGGACGGTCCTGCCCCGAAATTAATAACTCTTCCTCCTGACATCATTATTGTAGAAACTATGTTTAATCAAGCGTTAAAAATTAAAAGGAAAACTATTTGATATCAGTACGTAAAATACATTGATACCATTGACGTCACGAAATATTATCAATATGAGCGCCTCTAGTATTTATATTAATATATAAAATTTAAACAATATTGACGTCAATAATTATGAATTATTTAATTTTATTCAAATTAAATATTTCTTTAATTAAATTAATATTTTAAGGAGACAATTTTGTGGATATTTTGATCGTAGCGCCTCTCTATAGTTCTAAGTAAAGGTCATGTTGTGAAGGGCGTTTTAAACCGGCAAAGCTATAGAGAAGACAGCGGCAATAAAAGTTCTCCTGTTAAATTTTGCTATTTTATGATAAAAAGGTGAATCATATTAAGTTCCTATTGCATTATATTTAATGTTTATGATCATTTCTAATGTATTAATCGTGTGTAATTTAAAATATTAACCCGAAAACGCAGTGATTTGAATGCGTATTAGTAGAAGTTACTTTTAGGTCAATGCTTGTATACTTATATATGTGTAATTTATCTAAAGGTAACTTCTACTAATTTTCTATTTTGAACTTGGTTTTTTTACTTAAAAATTAAACTTAATACTTTCTAAATTATTATTAAAATATAATTGAATTAGTAAGAAGATAAATGAGTTATAAACGTGCAAAAATTATCAAATAATTATATTTTTTTAATGAGAAAATGTTGAAGAAAACCTGCTTTTTTTTTTTTATTATCTTCTAATCCTTTTGTAATGAATAGAATCTTTTTCAGTATTTCCTGTTCTATACAGTAACATCTGCTTTGAAAGTCAACTTTCAGCTTTTGTTCCTTTTTAAATTTCAGTTGTAATGGCATAGCCAGACAGGGCATTGAAGTTCAAACAGTCTGGCAGCCAAGTTTAGAATATTTGTATGACAGTGAAACCTTCAGTTGTTCCAATTTTGTCTTTGATTATACTATTATGCAATTTATTATCTAATTTATATATGTGAGAATGTAAATTTTAGCTGAAATGTACAAATTTTAAAAATAAATCCAGGCTAAGATTTAAAGGTTGTTTTGATATATTAGTTACTGGATTTTATTGAATATATTATACTCTCACTAAAAATATATATTGATGATCTATACTAATCAATAACTTTAAATTATGCTNACATTGATACCATTGACGTCACGAAATATTATCAATATGAGCGCCTCTAGTATTTATATTAATATATAAAATTTAAACAATATTGACGTCAATAATTATGAATTATTTAATTTTATTCAAATTAAATATTTCTTTAATTAAATTAATATTTTAAGGAGACAATTTTGTGGATATTTTGATCGTAGCGCCTCTCTATAGTTCTAAGTAAAGGTCATGTTGTGAAGGGCGTTTTAAACCGGCAAAGCTATAGAGAAGACAGCGGCAATAAAAGTTCTCCTGTTAAATTTTGCTATTTTATGATAAAAAGGTGAATCATATTAAGTTCCTATTGCATTATATTTAATGTTTATGATCATTTCTAATGTATTAATCGTGTGTAATTTAAAATATTAACCCGAAAACGCAGTGATTTGAATGCGTATTAGTAGAAGTTACTTTTAGGTCAACTGCCTATATGTTATATATGGATAAATTAACTAAAATTATATATAATTTACCAAACTATAACTTAATAATTTTTAGAAATGCTTGCATGTATTTAATTAATTTAATTGAAAAATTAAGTGGTTTACTCATTCATAATTTGATCTATAGTTACGTATCAATCTGTAATTACTTTTATAGAATACAATATATGTTACTAATGTATTTTATGAATATATTTGGTATGTGACTAGCTGTAATTTAAATTCCTATTATTCAATGAACTAAAAATTGATGAAAGTAATTAGAATTTTCTTACACATACTTTTAAACTGCAAAGAGTAGAAATTTTTTAAATTTAAAATCTAGTAATGTGATTGCAATAGGTTATATCTGCTAGTAATTAAATTTAGACACTAGTAAATTTAATCTATTGATAGTGTATCTCTGCTATCAGCAGATTAATTGTATTAGTGGATAAATATATCCTTCAGTATCTCTTCTGAAGATGGTCTCCAAATCTGATTATTTTTTTCTTTACAGATTTGTTTTAAGAAAAAATTGAAAAAAATTAGTTATTTAAAATTTACTTTATTTCTATTATCCACTGACTTTTAACTGCAATCTACAAAATGTATAATTTCTCAACTATACCAATAAAAATTTGCAACAGCAAATCCAGAAATATGATGATTCTTTAAGTTAATCAGCAAATATGTCAGTCAAAAATGACAGGTAAATTTAAAACGTTCAGAAAAAATTTAAATTGCAAAATCATATATTGTTCAATACGGGATATAAATATATTTTTTAAAAAAATGTTTAAAAAAAATGCATTGATTAGATGTAATTTCTGTAAAATTCAGCGGAATCTGACTAAAGTTTGTAAATATTTGAATAGAAGTTTTATGGATATTTAAATATAGCTTTTAGATGACTGATCATACTGCAAATGGCATTTTTCATATAAAGGTTTTCTGAATTTTTTTTTTTTAGTTCAGATTAAATCCTGTTAAAATAAATCTTGAATTTCCTTTATTTTATTCAAACACAAAGCAGTTAGGAGTAATATAAGATTTAAGTGGAAACTCTTCTAAAAGTCATTCATTAAATAATAAATATGAATGGAAAAAATTTATTTTTTGTAATTTTTTTTTAAATAAAAATTTCGCATGATACAATCAACACACAAAAACTGGATAATTACTAAAAAAAGAAATTTTGCAATTAGTCAATTAAAACAAAAGCTTAATGTCTAAATTCTTCCGAGAAAAGCAAAATGCTCACCGCAGCTGCCTTTTTAAACCTAAACGCTTTGAATCCGAAGCACAAATGGTCGACCATCGAACTATGTGCAGAGATGTCAAAACACAAATTGTCATCAGATTAAGTACCTGATAATAGCTGAAAGCTATTGAAAACATTTATAAATCTTGCATGTTTCTTACTTGAGTTTGGTTTATGTTTTGTTAAGAATTTCCAAGTTTATTACAGTTTTTTCTATTTTAAAATTTTGATGAAATAGTGAAATAGAGATGTTTATAACTGTTTAAAATAAAAGCATAACAGTAAAATTCATAATTGTATTTCAATTTTTGGGGTAAATTGTAAAATTGATTTCAAATGGCTATTTTTGGGTTCTTTTGGGTTTATTTGACAAATAAAATAAAATACTACATCTTTAGTATTTTGAAAAATAAAATGGTACTTATTAATTTCAATTATCAAACAAATTATCACTAGATATAGGCAATATTTTAACCTAAATTAACCATCTGTAAATTTTTATACTAATTTAGTAAAGTTGCAATGTGAAAAATATTTATTTTTGCATTCAGCTTGAAGCAAAAAAGTAGTATATTGATGATTATTAGAATGCACTGAACTTGTTAGATCTTTTAATTTAAATCTTTAACCAAGTGAATGTTTAGCAGAACATAGATTAACTTTCTTCATTGACTCTACTAGATTTACATTTTTAAAAAAAGTGATAAAATTGAGCAGTTTTGACTATAGTAATATACTTAAGTGGACACTTCCTCAGTTAAAAGAGTCCTAAATTTAACCATAAATATTTTTGAGAATTGTTTCTCGGCTTCAGATCCTCTTCTAAATAGAGGATTTGAAGCTGAGAAATCAGTCCCCAAAATATTTCAGTTGTTAAATTTAGAATTTCTTTAATTAGTTACCTTAAATTTGTGTTACTAAAATGGAATTGTATAAAAATAGTTTAGTTTTGAGTTATTGTTTAATTAATTAATAGTTTAACAAGGCTTTTTGATATAAGCATAGTTTTCAAATGAAATTTCATTATATATTGAGTTGCAGCATTTTTTTAAAGTAAAAGAAAATAAAAATAAACCCAAATTCAGCAACATTGTTAATTACATCTTAGTTTTTAGGTTCAAATAGATCACTGTTGAGAGATTTGAACTGCAGAATTTGTACTTGAATCTGTAAGAATAAAGATAATGGTCTTCTAAGTCACAGAACAAGTAATGTTCTGGCTTTTAAATAATAATAAATTACTAATGGATATTGTTTAATGGTATTCATTACTGTTTTAAAATTCTGATAGGAAAATTTGTTTTTATACTGTTAAAAGCAAACTAATAACAGATGCAAAAAATGTTGTAAAGATAGGTCTATATGAACTGTGCAGATATTCTACAAACTAAATAAAGCATTACTATTGGCTCAGGATGGGTTTGTAATTATACGAATCATTAAAGATGATAAAGGAACAGTCAGGTGATAAATTTGAACTCAGGGGTAATCACTCTAATGCTTTGCCAGCTGAGTCAACTGAACTTGCTACTTGACAGTGAATTTAGTAAATTTAACTGACAATAACAGCTGTCATATTTAAAAGCTCAATAATAATAATAATAATAATAATATATTATATAAATTTGGAATTCAGAATAATAATGTGTAAAAATTAGAAATTTTCTGAATAAGAGACTTCAGTTTTTTTAGGGTAAACTTTATCAAACCTTATTTATGTTTGGAATATTTATAAGCTTTTCAGAATTTTATTCAAAATTATAAAGTTAATTTTATCAAACCAAGTCTGTTTACTTGCAGAATAAAGTACTTTAGGATATGTCAACTGTAATTTGTAATGAATTTTTTTCATAGATGGATGTCCTTCAATTCACCTTTATCATTTTGCTCGATTCTATTCCTACTATTTTTAAATATAGTTTGAATATTAATTAATACTACTATTAGTTTAAAATAACATTTAAAAATTTTAAGTTATTTAAAAATTATCTCCATGTTGTTTTTTTCTTGATGTAATAATTCTATTTTGCTAGATTAAAGACTTTTTAATTTCCTAAAATAAGTTTTAGTTTGAAGGTGATCTTCAGAATTTAGTTTTTGGGTAGCAATATTCTGCTTTCATAACTTTCTTTTGATAGATTAAGTATACATATAAGCTATACATAGTAATCATATATTACAAGTATGAATTCCAATTATACTAGTTAATCATTGCTGTTTATATTAAAAATAATTTTTAAAAATTTACTACTACTAGTCTATTGTTGGAAGTCAATATATATACATATGTGCAATTTGAAGTAAGTGATTTTAAGAAATTATTTTTTAAATTTTGAATTTGTTAATTTTTACAATAAAAATAATTTAATGTGGCATAGTTTATTTAGGCTTGAAGATTGATCCAAATGACTTTAAAAGGCTGCCAATATACATTATATATCAAATTCTTTGTTTAGATGTATTTTTCTTTAAATTTTAAATATTGTTTTTAGATTGACGAAATGGAAGAATATTATTACAAAATACATATTATTTATAAAGGAATTATTTTATGTTAACAAACATTTTTCTGAATAAATTTTTGCATACATCTATACTTTATAAAGAGGTAAAGTTTGTAAGTTTGGATGTAGGAGGTAATCTCTGAAACTACTCATCTGATTTCAAAAATTCTTTCACCAATATTTAGAATGGACCTTCAGGGTGGACATAGTCTGTATATTATTCCGTTAAATGTATAAATTAAAAGATATCATCTAGGTAAACATTATATTTTTTGGTGTCGGCGAGGGTCAAGACATGTACATATACGAGATAGGTAACCATGCGGTGCAGTTGTGTGGTTGGAGAGATATGCAGTGCACATGTCTGAACTTGTATATTATATAATGTCGAAATTCCCCCGTGGGGAGAGGGACAAAATTAAGGCTTACCATTAAGAACTCTGCTTCTATTATACTACTTTAGATGCAGTTTTTTGTGTTTTTGATTGCATTTTAATAGGGTACATCAAGAGAATGTATACTAAAAAGGGATTTTTTGAAATTCCACCCCATGGGGAGTGTTATACATTTATAATAGATACATTTTGAGACACAGCAACACGTGGTCAGGTACAGCTAGTAAGAAAATATTTTTATATATTTCAAAATATTTTAAAAGGAAAAATTTTTGAAATATTTCAAATTAATTTATTAAATGTTACTTTGATATTTTAAGCATTCTTCAGGGATTTAAATTACTATAATAATGTCAACTTACAAAAATATTTTAAGCATGTTTTTTTTATTAGGAATGTTTATCATACTATAGGCTTATTGTTATGTAATTAGTATATTACTCAAAGCTTAAATATTGCAAGTCATTTTTTAATATTCTGAGGTAAGAAATTATTTTAACATCAGAAATTTTGACATTTTTAAAAAAACAATTTTTCAGTATTAAAATAAAAATAAGAACAGTTTAGGTTTCTAGTATATGCAAAATTATGTAGTGAAATTCTTTTCTACTGATCTAAGAATTAGTAATTAAAAAATCTGAATGTAAGGATTAAATAATTGACAATTTTCCTTTGTATAATTTTTAAATCTTAGCATAATTGATAGCCTATATTAAATGTTACTAAAGATCATTTTTCAAGTAGTTTTATCTATAGAAATGTTTTATTGCATTAAAAAAATAATACAATAGAGAATCAATTAAACATTGAGAGTATTAGGTATTACCTGTAATTTATATAGGGTCCAGCAGGAAAACGGGTGATTTATAGATGTTTGCAATCTTGTACAAGAAAGTTAATAACGAATATAATTTGACATTTGTTTTGAAGATGACATCACGCAAGTGGCCCTTATTTGTGGTGCAAACTTTCTTCACATCTTTGAAGCATGTCATTCATAAAGCTGTACAACATATTCTTCGGTATGTTATTGATTGCATTGCAAATGTTTGCCTTGAATTTCAATATTTTTTTGGATGATCTTCATATACTACACTGTCTACAAAAATATTGAAACTTTTAAGCCAAAAAAAATGCCATGTATTCAATAATGTATTTGGAATGTGGTGTGCAGCTCTATGCATGACATACTTCAAAGATGTGAAGAAAGTTTGTGCCACAAATAAGGGTCACTTACGTGATGTCATCTTCAAAACATAAATGGCAAACTGTTTGAAATCTTGTACATGAATTTGTTTAAAAATATTCAAATATTATAAAAATGAATGAATAAAATAGTTTCACTTTGGAATCAATTTGAAATATAAGACAAAGTTATTGTAAACTTAAATATTTTTAGTCTGAAAGAAAGATCTCATTTTAACTGCATGAATAGTAATTATCCTGTTATGAAACTGTCCTTGTTTAAGTTTCCAGTTGATTGCTTTTATATTTTTTGTTATGTTATTAAGGAACTGATTATAAAAAAAAATAAAATATATGTAATTCAAAAGTTATTGTAGACTTATTCCCTCCCCCCTGGATATTTAGCTATTTTAATCAAAATCTATTTGTTTTGTTTCTTTTGAATCTTCTGATGTTTGTTTTAATTGTAGAAACAAATGTCAATTTTAAAATTGAACAAGCAACATTTAAAGAATTTGAAGAGTTTTTAAAATATTTTTTTTGTTCGTATTTATCAGTAAGTTTTTGATAATTTTGCAAATTTTGTATATATTTTTTAATTAACAAGTGTATATTTTTGTCAAACATTTAGCAAACAAAAGCTGTTATTTCTTAGTGTGTGGATTTTTTTTTTTTTTTCAGCAAATATTATTGTATATCTCATACAACCTATTTGATATATAAAATGTTTGCACATTAAATTACATATATTAAAAATATTTAAATCATTTCTTGCAATTGCTTAGTCTAGTTATTTGTTCACAAGTTCTGCTGTCAGTTGTTATCGTCATCCTGAAATATTAGACTTATTATACTAGTTGTAAAGGAATTACAGCATATTCAGGAAGTCAATCTTTTATTATTAATTTATTGATATAAAAGGAAAGCATTTCAGACGTTTTTGTCCCTCACAGTCGAATTTATAATGACTACTTCATATGCTTTAAAATTAGTAAACCATTTTCTGTGTGAACTAAATAAACTTCTTGAATTTGCTGTAATTCCTTTTGATTGGTTTAATAAGTCTAGTATTTGGGGCAGATACTAATAGCCAACAATAGAACTTGTAAATATTTAAATCAAATAAATTTCATTGAACTAATGATTTAGGTAACAATTTCTTAATTATAGGAAGAGTTATCTATTATTATTGCTTCTTAACCTTTAGATTTCTGGTAAGTCCGAATTCAATTAAATGAACTAATGTTTTCAATTATCTACCGAGATCTGTTTCAGGTTCATAAATCATTCCAACTATGGAATGCCAAGAATTTGAACATTTTTGAATACAAATTAATTTGAATAATTGTGCTGGATTTAATGTATAGACAAAAGACCCCCATATCTGTATATTAATGCATTGACTCATCCTTATGTGAATAATATGTAATCAATGATGGGGATGCTCTTCATATGCATATTGCCACACAAACAATATCGTGTTGTTGTCTTTGAAATTTATACAATTCCACAACCTGCTTGCTTTATAAATTTCGAGGTTTTCCAGGACCCTGATGTTGTCTGTCTGAAATGATTTTTTTATGTGAGCGGTGTTCTCTAAGTCGGTCTGTATATCTGGGTCTATGGCGTATGTTGACAGGGCAGTGGTGTGCTTTCCTTTGTCAATGTCATATTTGTGTTCCATGATTCTTTTTCTCAAAGACATTTTGGTCAATTCAATACAGTCTCTCTCTCTCTCTCTCTCTCTCTCTCTCTCTCTGGAACCTGTGGGCACCAGGGGTGTACAGATTAGGGATCACAAGTTATCTGGTGTGTCTTTCACATTTCTTAGTAGCAAGTAAATTGTTTGTGTTCCTGTGAAATGGATCAACCAAAACATCTTTATGAAAAAGAATCATGATCAGATTTATAAAAAAACTTTGATCAGTTATATTAGAGAAAATATTTAATGATCTTGAGGATGTAATGATGTGGATAAATTAATTAGGTAAACAAACTTACCTTCTCAAAAATTTTAAAAGCATGATATACACAAATTACTGTAACCTTTTGAAATTTGCTAAATATGAACATTCAGAGTTTATTATTCAGATTCAAATATAGATTGAAGTATCAACTTCAAATACAATTTTTCCATTAATTTTTTTAAGTCTATATGCATTTATGAAAAAAAATGTGTGAATGCTAAATTTAGTTCTTATGATACTATTAAATTACAACTGAAAGCATCTAAATGCTCAGATTTAAATGCAACTTAACATAGTTATGAAGTAAAATAGAATGTACAAATTTTCTAAGTATCGTAAGTTGTTGTTTATAAACTATGTAAAACTATTGATGCAGGATATTTTTCTGTATAAATTCAAAATTTTTTTTATATATAAAATTTATTAACCTTTAATATGAATTTTGGCTAATTTTTACAAAACTTTATAGTTGAAAGAATAAATTTTAGATGCTCTATTCTGTGTGACCTTCAGATTATCATTTAAAGTAATCCATAGAAGATATTTGGCAGTTCTGTTTACGAAATTTGGTTCGAGTATTATTGCTGGCATCTGTTCTTGTATTAAGACGTCAGGCATCATGGTACCGGTTGGTCCGGTACCTGTAAGTAATCTTTTTAGGATATCTACAGAAATTATAACTAACAAATCTGTGTGGATATATTTAAGTGTTATGTATGATGTGCAAAATATCTTTTGTTATCCTTAACATAATTGAAAATGTTTGTTACATTGAAACACTTGATCTAACAAAAAAAAGTATAATTTAAAATACGAAATTTGACAAATTAAAATAAATTAGCAAACTAATTGAATTGTTCAACTTACTAAATGTGTCTGTAGTCTGATAACTCTAATAGTATAATAATCTGTAATATGAAATGTTTATTTAGAGTTTATTTACAATGTAACTTTTATGTTAATTTTTTCTAACATTAATATTTTATCTAATTGAGAGCTGAACAATTACCAGATTAAATCTGGCTACATTACTGCTGCTAATAATTATTAAATAACATTATTAGCTTGATTTTAATGCGGTAATTATTTGGCTCTGATATGCTTATCGGGCTTTAGGATATTTATATATTTATCCAATTGAGTTTCCCAATCTCTGAGGGCATGAATAAATAGTCAACCCTCATTAGTATGCCCTTTTGTTATAGTGCCATCCTCACTTACTGCCATATATTTATGAAGAACAAATCTTCCCTATGGAGTATATATTTAAAAACCCCATTATTATGACAACTCACTTAATGCCAGTAAATTTTTGAAATCTTTTCCCCTAAACAGTTTTATAATGAATTATATGAATTATTCTGGTGGAATGTTGAGTACATTTCAACCATAGCAGATAGCAATGAGTCTTGACTTCTTGCTTTGAAATCTGTTGCTCTTTCATAGTGTTCTATTCTACTGTATTTGCTACACTGCTTTAATCTGCTGTTGTGTGTGTCCTCAATATAAGTAAACAAGCAGTCATTTCAATTAAATAAAAACATGAAATTTGCTTATACGAAGAGAGATATCCAAATGCTAGTCAACAACAAAGAATAGTAGAACACACACTTTTTTTTTTGTGGAAGAAAGCAATTACTTGCAGATGCATTGAACATCTTGGAAGAAAAAGTGTCTGCAAGAGCCTTCCTCCAAGGCATTGTCCTAGATCTGCTAAACATGAGAATCTTAAAGATGCCATAGTAATATGAATTAGCTGAGTTAATGCCAAGCATGAATTGTAACAAGCTGAAATCATAGAAAAAACAAAATAATTTGGAAGACAGATAGGAATTAGACTTCCAATATAGCAAGAGTTGGGGTTGGTTGGCATGATTCAAACAGTGTCATGGACTTTCACAGCATATCAGGCAAAATAAAACAGCCAAAGTGGATGACCAAGTTGTATTAGATGCTTGTGAAACATTGTCTGACATGGTTGGACAGTATGAGTTGCAAAATGTTCATAATATGGATGAAAGTGGATTGTATTACTGCATGCAGCTAGACAGACAATTTCCTGTAATAATCTGAAATTATTGGAGCCGCACCAGGTTAAATCCCATCAGTTTATAGTCCATTACAGCAAAATAATGAGGTAGAAAAGCTGACAGGTGTTTTGAACCAGTTTCAAGCAACAGCATCATTGGAAAATCTTTAAACTTTAAAAGAATGTTTAATCCTTGATGACAATTTGCCAACTTTTGAAGAAATGAACATAGAAAAGATCCTGTAAACTACAAATTACACTGAAAATTCTGATTCATATGATAAGACAAAAAATGCAACATTTACCCATCTGCTAAAGAAGCAAAAGAAAGCATTAGAATAGTAAGAGCCTTCCTAGAAGCATACTGTGTTGATTCTGATGTAATGTCCCATGTTTATACCATAAATATTATTATTGATGAGATCCATGAGCATAAAAAAGCAGTCATTAATACCAGATTTCATCATTTCAAAATAAGTAGTGTGTTTTGCATTTACTTGTAGTGTGTGTACATTTTACTTTTTTTCACTTCAACTCTTATTTCTGCCGTAGAGGCGTATTTACTGAACTTCTTCAGCAGTACATGTTTTTTAATTTCAAAATAGTGCCACTCTCATATAGTGCCAAAAAAGAGGGAAGAGCAGACAGTGTCATACTAATGAGGGTTGACTGTACTTTGAATATAAATATTTATCCTTGTTTTAAATTTAATCTTTGATTTTCAACATAATTTCATATTCAATATGGATGTGATCTGAATCTCTCGGCTGAGAGATGTATTGATAGATCAGTTTCTTAAAAACTCTTAGGAGTCAGTACTCTGGGTTAATAAATGGGCTAAATTGGTTAATTTTTTCAGTATTCTATTGAATAAGATTTGGGAAACTCTGATTCTTAAAAGAAATATATTTTTTTAAACTTCAAATAAATTTTTTATAAAAAGCTAATTTTAATGTATTTAAAAATTTTTAATAGTGTAAAATGAGTCAACTTAAAGCAACAGCATTACAACTGCATGGAGGTGAAACAGATTCTTGGCTGGACCACTTAAGTGGTTTAAATATTGATACTCATCCAATATATCAGAGATTAACTGGAATAATATGCACTATTGGTAAGTAGATCAATTTTGTAATTATTACATTCAAGAAATTCATAATACAATAAGTGTTTTTCATTCAGATTACATGAAAAATAAATTTTAATTTGTTTTACTTCTGACTTAAGTTTTAAAATGTTGAATTTATTATTTCATTAAACACTGCACCTTGGTTTTGTCCGAGATTTATAATCCCATATTATTTGTTGAAAACTTAACAAGGTTAAAATTTTAAAAAAATGTTAACATTTTAGTTTAATGCAGCCAAATATTGCTTTAAAAAACATAATTCTATAATTAAAATTTTAATAATAATGTTAAATTTATTGTATAATAATGCAATATTCAAACATACAAATACCAAAAATCTAGTGGCATACTAATACTTTAATATGTAAAAAAAAAAAAACATTTTCAACCATCTTAATAGATTATCCTTGGGTTTTAAAATTAATAAATTTGATAAGAGATCATACTTAGAACAAATTTTTTAAAAATGGAACATTATTAACTGCTAACAAATGCCAATAAAATATTGTTTTATACATCTTGTATAACATTTATATACTATTGAACTTGGGAGGTGGCATAACTTGTAAATCTCTCATTTTTGAAGATGTTTAATCAACAGCTATCAATTACAAGGACACAGACAGTCTCTTTAGTAGTGAAGTCCTTTTTTGAGGTACTGTAATGGAAGCTATGCAATTTTCTTAAAAGAATGGATGTTGGTTTATTTAAAATGATGCCTATGCATTCTCCAAGATGCATGTGGACACAGCCAATAATGTAATATTGTATATAGTTTAATGTATTATAACATTATTAAAATTGTATATGGGAAGTGGTCAAGCCTTGCCTGTTTTAGGCATTACTATGTACTTTTTTAAATAAAATAAAAATTTGTTTCTTGTTGTTAAAATATTTTCTAAACATTTCTGAATAGGTCCTGCATCCCGAGATGTAGATAAATTAGTGGAAATGATGAAGAGTGGCATGAATATTGCCCGTTTAAATTTTTCTCATGGAACACACGAGGTAAAAAAAAATTGATTTGAAGTATCTAACTTTCTAAACAAAAGTTTCAGTTTATATTATTAATTTTCAGTATCATGCTGGAACAATAGAAAATGTGCGAAAAGCAGCTGAAATCATGGCTAAAGAATTAGGAATGCCTTCTTATCCTGTTGGAGTTGCATTGGACACTAAAGGTCCAGAAATTAGAACTGGTTTGCTTGAAGGGGTATGAAGTTTCTAAAATATAGTACTTTGTGTATTTTTCTATTGAAACGTGAATATGAAAAATTTATTTTGCAGGGTCCTAGTGCTGAAGTTGAATTAGTGAAAGGAAAAACTATTAAGGTCACCACAGATGATGCTTATAAAGAAAAGTGTTCAGCTGAAGTCATTCATGTAGATTATAAGAATATTACTAAAGTTCTAAGTGTTAACAGCAAAGTTTATGTAGACGATGGTTTAGTTTCTTTGATTGTCAAAGAAATAGGTAATTTTTCTCTGATTAACAATCTTTTACTTATACTTTGTAATTTAAATTAATATTATTTTTTTTTTAGGTTCTGATCATTTAATATGTGAGATAGAAAATGGTGGAATGCTTGGAAGTAAGAAAGGTGTTAACTTGCCTGGTGCAATTGTTGATCTCCCAGCTGTATCAGAAAAAGATAAAGATGATCTTCTTTTTGGAATTGAACAAGATGTGAGTTTTACATTTTCTGTATAAAATACTAAATGAATCTTTTGAATCAAATGTTACCTCATTTTGTTAGGAAATCATAATACTTTAATCATTTGGCCATCCGGCCATCAAATGCAAAGTGTTGTTCTGCTACTCTGGAGACCTAAAATTGAATCCAGGGGGTCAAAACATCCCCAGAAATTTCTTGGGGTGGTCTTTCTCTTGCCACCTGGTTGTTTAGTTGTGGGCCAAACTATAATGAGCTTGATATAAATGAAATCATAATACTTTAATCATTTGGCCATCCGGCCATCAAATGCAAAGTGTTGTTCTGCTACTCTGGAGACCTAAAATTGAATCCAGGGGGTCAAAACATCCCCAGAAATTTCTTGGGGTGGTCTTTCTCTTGCCACCTGGTTGTTTAGTTGTGGGCCAAACTATAATGAGCTTGATATAAATGAAATCATAATACTTTAATCATTTGGCCATCCGGCCATCAAATGCAAAGTGTTGTTCTGCTACTCTGGAGACCTAAAATTGAATCCAGGGGGTCAAAACATCCCCAGAAATTTCTTGGGGTGGTCTTTCTCTTGCCACCTGGTTGTTTAGTTGTGGGCCAAACTATAATGAGCTTGATATAAATGAAATCATAATACTTTAATCATTTGGCCATCCGGCCATCAAATGCAAAGTGTTGTTCTGCTACTCTGGAGACCTAAAATTGAATCCAGGGGGTCAAAACATCCCCAGAAATTTCTTGGGGTGGTCTTTCTCTTGCCACCTGGTTGTTTAGTTGTGGGCCAAACTATAATGAGCTTGATATAAATGAAATCATAATACTTTAATCATTTGGCCATCCGGCCATCAAATGCAAAGTGTTGTTCTGCTACTCTGGAGACCTAAAATTGAATCCAGGGGGTCAAAACATCCCCAGAAATTTCTTGGGGTGGTCTTTCTCTTGCCACCTGGTTGTTTAGTTGTGGGCCAAACTATAATGAGCTTGATATAAATGAAATCATAATACTTTAATCATTTGGCCATCCGGCCATCAAATGCAAAGTGTTGTTCTGCTACTCTGGAGACCTAAAATTGAATCCAGGGGGTCAAAACATCCCCAGAAATTTCTTGGGGTGGTCTTTCTCTTGCCACCTGGTTGTTTAGTTGTGGGCCAAACTATAATGAGCTTGATATAAATGAAATCATAATACTTTAATCATTTGGCCATCCGGCCATCAAATGCAAAGTGTTGTTCTGCTACTCTGGAGACCTAAAATTGAATCCAGGGGGTCAAAACATCCCCAGAAATTTCTTGGGGTGGTCTTTCTCTTGCCACCTGGTTGTTTAGTTGTGGGCCAAACTATAATGAGCTTGATATAAATGAAATCATAATACTTTAATCATTTGGCCATCCGGCCATCAAATGCAAAGTGTTGTTCTGCTACTCTGGAGACCTAAAATTGAATCCAGGGGGTCAAAACATCCCCAGAAATTTCTTGGGGTGGTCTTTCTCTTGCCACCTGGTTGTTTAGTTGTGGGCCAAACTATAATGAGCTTGATATAAATGAAATCATAATACTTTAATCATTTGGCCATCCGGCCATCAAATGCAAAGTGTTGTTCTGCTACTCTGGAGACCTAAAATTGAATCCAGGGGGTCAAAACATCCCCAGAAATTTCTTGGGGTGGTCTTTCTCTTGCCACCTGGTTGTTTAGTTGTGGGCCAAACTATAATGAGCTTGATATAAATGAAATCATAATACTTTAATCATTTGGCCATCCGGCCATCAAATGCAAAGTGTTGTTCTGCTACTCTGGAGACCTAAAATTGAATCCAGGGGGTCAAAACATCCCCAGAAATTTCTTGGGGTGGTCTTTCTCTTGCCACCTGGTTGTTTAGTTGTGGGCCAAACTATAATGAGCTTGATATAAATGAAATCATAATACTTTAATCATTTGGCCATCCGGCCATCAAATGCAAAGTGTTGTTCTGCTACTCTGGAGACCTAAAATTGAATCCAGGGGGTCAAAACATCCCCAGAAATTTCTTGGGGTGGTCTTTCTCTTGCCACCTGGTTGTTTAGTTGTGGGCCAAACTNGCTTAATTAACAATTTTTAACAATACAATAGCGACGATTATTATTTTTAAAAAAATATTTGTTAGGCTTAACATCGATTAAAATTCAACGCAAAGTTGGTTAATAGCAATATACTAATATACTAATTACATGGGATATACTATACTAATAATGTACTTTTTTCATTCTTTTCGGTTATCCGATTTTTTCGTTTATCTGACCAACCTGAGTCCCCAATTGAGTCAGATAATCGATGCTCTACTGTATTTTTAATTGGATATGTGTTTTTGCTTTTAAAGGACTGTTTGGCGGCCATTAGCCTAAAAGGGAAGGTCAGTTGCCAAAAGTGTAATGTCTGGAACACAAAGTTAATAAATGGTGGTTCCTCTTTTTTGAGAAGGACTTTGTGTTCAAAAGTATTAATATATATGCTTTAATTTTTTCTGAATAGAATCTTTGAGTGTGTATTAATAAATTCAGAAGATAGAAAACTAAATTTATAAGTATTGGCCTATAATGAATGAGATTGTCAATTTTCATTTTCTGAAAATAATGATAAAATATTGCACTTTATCTTAGAAAGGAAATTTACTTATGAAATACTTTGACACTATAAATTTAAGTTCTTATTTCTTAAAAAAATTTAGATGTTAACTTTTTTTGCATTCTTTATTAAGTAGTTAACTTGTTCAATATTCAAAGGAAATATTACAATAATTTCTATTATAATTTTTAAAATTAAGCTGTTTATCTAATAGACTTTTCTACATCTATATATTAATGTAATAAAGGAATAAAAACTTTTTGAAACTTTTTTTCTTTTTACTGTAACTCCATGTTCTGTCACTATAGATTATGATTTTGATTCAGATCTAAGGTAGTAATTAATGAGTCATTGCAAATTAATAACAAAACTTGCAGATATTTTTCAGGTGCAGAAATAATAAAAAGAAATTAAAATTGATTTTATTCAAGTATTATGTATATGATTATTCAAGTGTGTGGAATTTGTTTTTACAACAGGATAATCCTCTAACTGCTTTCATCACAGCTAATCAAGAACAACAACAAATTATCTTATCTGTAAGTTATTTTATTAGATATGAGATGTTAGTCGGCAGTCTGTCTTTTGTCCTGATGTCAAGCAAAATTTGGTTCAGTTCTTTTAGCAATGTTGTTGTGTGTTGAATAGCTTTTTGTTGTTTTTGCTAGGTAAAAATAACATTTCTACTTAAGTAATAAGTTTTTGTTGTTTTTAGATTTGAGTTTGTCCTCTTACTATTAAACTTAGTTGTGAATAAATATTTATTGAATTTGAAATATTTTATATAATTTGCTTAGTTTATACAAGTCAATTTTATTTCTGGATTAAATGTTTTTTGACTCCAAAGGACATTTATGGAATTCAAACATGTTAATGGAGTTGAAGCTTAACTTCAGAAGATATATCAAATATTTCTGTTACACTTAGTTTTAATTTCTTGTAATAATTTCTGAACAATTTTAATGTTACACTTAATTTTTCAAATAGAATTAGGGAATCTTTTTACAAGTTACAGTATCTGGTATTACGAAGTTTGACAACAGGAGGAAAAAATAAAATAGTACAAAGAAGAAACAATTTCAAGTGTAAATTCCAAAATTGAAATTTGGAACTAATTTTAATTTAAAAATATAGAAATTTAATACTTAAAGTAAATTAGACCTTCACCAAGAGATTCTTATAAACTTTTCAGTTTTATTTAATAATCATTTTTAAGTTTTAGTATTTACTGTTATTTGCTGAAGAAAGCATATGAATCCATTTACGGAAATCAGATATTGTTAGCAGTTATTTAATGTTTTGTTTCAAAAATAAGTTAAAATACTTAATACATTTTAATTTTGATGTAGTAACATATGGATTTTAGCATTCAAGAATTTATTTCTTGCATTTAAATCTGGCTAAGATCACTTCCAGTCTTTAACATATTTTTTTTAGTGATAATTCACTGCTGATAATGAAAAATTGTATTGTTATTAACATTATAGTTTTGAATTTGGTTGTGAATTTTATAGTAGTATGATCCTGGAATGACATATCAGTTATTAGAACAAACAAAGATGGATCTAGAGGTGGCAATACTTGCCATTGAGTTTTTCTCAATTATACTTGTTTTTCTTTTTATAAAAACTGAGCAGTGGATCATAAAATTTGAAAATTTTTTTTAACTTTTTATAAGACAATTATATAATTATATAGGTAGTTTCTCTGAAGCTGAATCTATAACAGAAGAAGCAAATGATGTATACACTTTAGGAAATGAGACTACCAACTTGTGCTAAGTTTTGTTTTGGTTTATAAAAATTTGGAGCAAAAATGACTCAGATTAGGACTATAATCCACAATTTATGTAGCTGTGTTACCAATTATTGGGTTGTTTGGAAAGTAATTTTGTTTTTTACCACCAGAGGGATTAGTTGTATTTTTATCCACCAGTTTCATTTTAAATTGTATTGTCGCCATATATTTTGACAGCTGACGTTTCAAGGCTTATTTGTAAAAAATTTTGTTTCATTCTTTGCAATTGTGGTTTTTTCCCCCAATCAAATATGGAAAATTGAAAGCAGCCTTTTTGGCATATTTTGCTTTTTTATTACTGAAAAGGTAAGAATTAGTGATTGCAAATTTACCAGGTATTATATTACCAGTAATTTGGTAATTATATTTGGGATTATCGGTTTATCTGTAATTTACAGGTAAATTCGTATTAACAAATGATTTAAAATGAAACTGAATTACTGACAGAATTATTGGATAACCATTTATTTTCAAGTTTTCTATCAGTTTAGACAAACAATTCTTGTAATAGCAATTATCACCACATAAGAAACATTGAAGTAATGCTGATAATGTTTTTCTTTATTTTGAAAGTAGGCTTTTAACAAACATTAGACAATGAGAGCCTATATGTATTATCTATGTAGATCTAATTTTGTACAAATGGCAGCTGCATTAGAAAAAGCTCTCTCAGAATCAATATACTAGTTGGACGTACTGTTATTAGAGCATTGAAAACCTTTTTAAGATACGTTCCTTGTTTTTTTGCTCTAAGAAATAATTCATTTCTTTTTAAACTATGTTTTTCACACTTTTAAACTTACTTATATTACTGTTATCACTGTCTATGCTCATTTTATGTTTAATGAATAAGTCCAATTTCTCTTCCATTGTTAAATTTGACTTTTCTATTGTGCACTTTGTTCTCATGTTGACGTGAAAAGTTGATAGTGTAGTAAGTAATGAACATCTCTTCATAATTTATTTTCATTTTCTGATAAGTGCTTGATTGTTTCTACAATCTCATTCAAAATTATATTTTTGTTAACATTATTAGATATTTTGTGTAACTTATATTTGTTCAATTTTCTGGGTTATTTTCTGGGTACTCCAAAATCAAGACCTATTTTTGGAGTATAATACAAGCAATCAAGTTATAAAAAGACTAGAAAATTCCTTCTAATAACCTTAAATTACAAATGGAATGACCCATCACCACTTGCACTAATCAAGAACAACAACAAATTATCTTATCTGTAAGTTATTTTATTAGATATGAGATGTTAGTCGGCAGTCTGTCTTTTGTCCTGATGTCAAGCAAAATTTGGTTCAGTTCTTTTAGCAATGTTGTTGTGTGTTGAATAGCTTTTTGTTGTTTTTGCTAGGTAAAAATAACATTTCTACTTAAGTAATAAGTTTTTGTTGTTTTTAGATTTGAGTTTGTCCTCTTACTATTAAACTTAGTTGTGAATAAATATTTATTGAATTTGAAATATTTTATATAATTTGCTTAGTTTATACAAGTCAATTTTATTTCTGGATTAAATGTTTTTTGACTCCAAAGGACATTTATGGAATTCAAACATGTTAATGGAGTTGAAGCTTAACTTCAGAAGATATATCAAATATTTCTGTTACACTTAGTTTTAATTTCTTGTAATAATTTCTGAACAATTTTAATGTTACACTTAATTTTTCAAATAGAATTAGGGAATCTTTTTACAAGTTACAGTATCTGGTATTACGAAGTTTGACAACAGGAGGAAAAAATAAAATAGTACAAAGAAGAAACAATTTCAAGTGTAAATTCCAAAATTGAAATTTGGAACTAATTTTAATTTAAAAATATAGAAATTTAATACTTAAAGTAAATTAGACCTTCACCAAGAGATTCTTATAAACTTTTCAGTTTTATTTAATAATCATTTTTAAGTTTTAGTATTTACTGTTATTTGCTGAAGAAAGCATATGAATCCATTTACGGAAATCAGATATTGTTAGCAGTTATTTAATGTTTTGTTTCAAAAATAAGTTAAAATACTTAATACATTTTAATTTTGATGTAGTAACATATGGATTTTAGCATTCAAGAATTTATTTCTTGCATTTAAATCTGGCTAAGATCACTTCCAGTCTTTAACATATTTTTTTTAGTGATAATTCACTGCTGATAATGAAAAATTGTATTGTTATTAACATTATAGTTTTGAATTTGGTTGTGAATTTTATAGTAGTATGATCCTGGAATGACATATCAGTTATTAGAACAAACAAAGATGGATCTAGAGGTGGCAATACTTGCCATTGAGTTTTTCTCAATTATACTTGTTTTTCTTTTTATAAAAACTGAGCAGTGGATCATAAAATTTGNGCAATTGTTGATCTCCCAGCTGTATCAGAAAAAGATAAAGATGATCTTCTTTTTGGAATTGAACAAGATGTGAGTTTTACATTTTCTGTATAAAATACTAAATGAATCTTTTGAATCAAATGTTACCTCATTTTGTTAGGAAATCATAATACTTTAATCATTTGGCCATCCGGCCATCAAATGCAAAGTGTTGTTCTGCTACTCTGGAGACCTAAAATTGAATCCAGGGGGTCAAAACATCCCCAGAAATTTCTTGGGGTGGTCTTTCTCTTGCCACCTGGTTGTTTAGTTGTGGGCCAAACTATAATGAGCTTGATATAAAGGCCGCCTTAGTGCTCACATGATAGTTTGAAAGGGGGAAAAATTATTTACATTCTTTGTCAATTGATAATTCTAGAAAATAATTATAAAAACTTAAAAAAAACCAATTCATTTATGTATTTTGTATGATTAAAAATTAAGACCACCTCATTATTTATATCCATGTTTACAAAAAATTTATATGAATTTGCAAACTAATATGAAAAATTTAAGTCTTAACTCTTCAATTTGTCTGTCTTTTCAGTCTACTTAATATATGCTAGAGAAGATATATACAGAATATTTCATAATTTTATTATATATGCTGTTCTTCAAATACTCTATTATTCTCATTCCAATTTGAATATTTTATAGCATGTTTACCAAAACATATATACTTAAATTGTAAATTTAAAGAATAAGATTTTGAAACCACATTACAAATATTGACACTTCTTAAATTTAGTAATAAATTTGGAAATTAGTGCCAAGAAACCTGGTTAAGTAATTTGTGATCATGGTCCTTTTTATATCTATTATGTTAGACACTTTTTTTATGATCATTTGTAAACGAAAAAAGTGCACAAATTGTAAAATTTTTATTTTATTGAATTTGTTTCATTTGTTGTGAAAAATTGTAAAAAGAATCAATTCATAAATTTAAAATTTTTCCAAAATTCCTAAAATGACTGACTAGCTGAAACAAAGTATGAAAGTGAATACAAAATTCTAGTTTATGTAACAGTGAATGAAGTTAAGTACGAGAAGTAATTAAATCATAAAGCTCTGACAGCAACATCTGTGAAACAACACCCATTTTAGATAACCCACTGGGTTGTACAATATATTATCAAAATGTTCACTGTACAATTGTAAAGCTGTTGACAGCTAAGCATAAGATTTAAATGTTTTACTGGTTAATGGTTTTATAATTTTATTGTTTTAAATGTGAGTCTTGTAATAATTTTTAGGATGTTTTTTTTTTTTTTTTGCCTTATGTTTAAAAGATATTTAACTGGTGAGGTCCATTAACACCAGGGTCCAAAATGCATTTTAGAAGATATATAAGCAGTGGCATACCCAGGGTTTGAACTAGAGGGGAGCAACTCATAGTTTCTTTGAGTGCGAGAATAGCAGCAAAATAGTTCTAAGATTTGATGGCTTTAGTCAAGTCACAATATTCATTATACAAACTGATACTAAATTGATGTCTGTGCTGTGTGTCAATTACTACACTTTAATTTTTCTTCTAGTGGCCAGCTGCCCTTCCCTGCCCTTGTATATAAGTCATTAATAGTTTTATGTGTGATAACCCTTTCATTATAATAATTTTACTATGTATATGTAAGAAAGTATATTTGTATTAAATAATGAATAGTGTTGTAAAAATTTCATTTAACTCTTAAGTGAGATATTTATTATGTTAGAGCAATTTTTTAAACTTAAGTTAGTGTGTGTTCAAAAATTTCATCCAGCATAATGTAAAACAATGTGTAGCAGTTTAATATACCTATAAATGTTTTACTATATTTATTTCCTCTTAGATGTAATCGATAATAATTGCTTCAAAGTGGTATATATGAACATGTTTGTTTTTGCAGTGAAATACTAGTACTTTTTTACAAATTAAAATTGAGAAGGTTACAATGTATTTAAATTGATTAAATCTAACGTTTCAATGATTTGTTAATTAACTGTTCAAATAATCAAGCTAAACAATTGCTGGATTATATTGGGCTATATTACTACTACTATTAGTAATTTAAATGCTAAGTAATTTGGCACTAGAAGCAGGTCTTAGGTGCCATCTTTTGCTAAATTTATTAATTATAATTAATAATTTAGAAGGTTCTGGAAGAAAATCTGCCCAAAGCAGGATTCAAACTGCAACTCCTGCTTATCCTGCTTACCGTGCAGTCATGTTCCCAATTACACTATCCAGACTTTTGTCTGATCTTCAATTCCAGATAGATATGACAATTGTTTGGATTTAATATGTAACTATTGGGTTTTTGATGTTGATGTATTTGTATGACTAATATTGTTTTTTTATTATTATTGTAAAACACTGAATTCTGAATTTTCTTAATGTTGATTTTTTAGAAATTATTTAATTACAATGTAATTTTAATTACTAATTTGGCTTTGTGTTTATTTTTTAGGTTGATATGGTTTTTGCATCATTCATTCGAAATGGTGAGGGTGTAAGAGAGATACGTCAAATACTTGGAGAAAAAGGAAAGGACATACTAATTTTATCCAAGGTTGAAAACCATGAAGGTGTTGTTAAGTAAGTTGTTTTTTTAATTTTATCTAAATGTGTTTTTTGGAAAATTTTAAATGTTTTTATCTGAATTCTTTTTGTTGACTAGGATAGATGAAATTATTCATGAAAGTGATGGAATCATGTGTGCTCGTGGTGATTTAGGAATTGAAATACCTCCAGAAAAAGTTTTTCTGGCACAAAAAATGATGATTGCTAAATGCAATATGCTGGGTAAACCTGTTATTTGTGCTACACAGGTAATTACTTTAAAAAATCTGCTAAAAAACATTTGGCCAGTTTTTTGGTATTTTTAATTTTTGAAACATACCATTCAGTCTTAATATAAACAGTTACTTTTTTTAACTTTATTAATTATTATTTAACTTTATTGTATTTAATGAAATATATTAACTACATTTTTATCTGAAAGAATTCTACTTATTTAAATATATATTTTGAACTTTAAATCAGAGGAAAAAACACCCTACAGGTGTTTATGTTCAACTTCTAAAATAATAATTTTTTTCTAATTTAATTTTTATCAAAAAATATTTTTTTTATTTATAAAATGGTTCTTTTACGAAAACAGTGTTAAGCTAATTCTAGATCTGTTCATTTTTTTATATTAAATAAATTCATTTACTATTACTTGGCTACTTGTTTGAGATAGTCATTTGATTACCTCCTATTGAAGGCAATAAGTGCCACTTATTTGTAAGCTTTTAGTTTGCAGCAAATTTTAATGAAATGAATTGCGATTTAAACCAAGAGGCAAATTCAGAATGCCATTTAACATAAACAATATTAGTGCTATAATTTGTAGCATTTTAGTATTTACAAAATATATTTTATTAAATACTGTTTTTCGTTATCTGATCTGAATGATTTTGAATATTACTTTATATTGATATCCCATTTGTAGTGTTGTGTTTATTATCTATCATCTTATCCAAATGATTCAGATTTGAATTATTCTCTAAATTTTAAAATTAAACATTGTGTAGTGTTAATCTGTTTTCCTTATATGAATTTTGAATGCCGAATTTAAACATCTAACGAATGCAGATAATAATCTATCATATCAGGAAATTCTTTTAGAAATATTTAGAATCTAATTTGAATCTTAATAATAAAATATTTAAAACAGTAATTATTAAAAACATAAAGTATTATTTAAGATTTTTCATTAGATGTTTGCTATCAAAATAAAATGTTTTTGAAATAAAAATGTACAATTCTAGTAACTTATCTTAGAAGATAGATTTTTGTTCAAGTATTAATCTATTAAGATCAAATTCATACAAGGCTTTACATTGCAAATACATATTCTTAATGTTATGGTTTAAAATACTCCTTGATATTAAACATTGATTGGTTAAATGTTGGTGAATTTTCATTCTGATTATATCCTCATTTAACTATTCATTGGATTACTTTCAATGTAGGTATTAATTTTTTTTAATAGATTATTTAGAGTATAGGCTTATGTAAGTGGTGTTTGGCATTAATTGCTTGAATTAAGTAATTCTACAATATAAATCTGCTATAAGAAAAATTATAAATTTTGACTTTTGTTTTTTTTTGTTAGCTTTATCAAAGCATCCATTGAGATAAATTTAAGTTTTATTAAATACTTGTGAGATATCACAAATGATTAAAAAAATATCAGTAAGTGAATTTTTATGATCTATATAAGCTGTATTAACCTTTTTACCATAAACAAAATGAAATTAAATAAGTTTATAGGAGTATTTTTTTAGTAGCATTAACAATTTTTTTTAAAATTATACAATGTACTGATTTTATATTCATTAATCATAATGAAGATTACTAAGTGTTTTGATTCATTTTTCTAATTGCTTAACTTAAAAACTCAAACTTTCTATGCATAATTTTGTAATGCAAATTAAGAACAGAAGAAATTAAGAAAAAAAAAATGATTATCCTTGAACATATTTTTTTTTAATTATACAATAATTAAGACCTTTTCAGTAGTTATGTACTGAGGATTTAGCTGTGTGAAGTTAACACTATTTTTAGTATGAAAAGAGATATATTAAAAGTGCATACTAAACTATTAAGATGATCAGACTTCATACTGTGGTGGTTTTTCCCAGACTTACTTTTCAATTTTCAAGTTGCTTTATTCATGGATCTATAAAATACTTTACAATTATGAACACTTAAACTAATTTCTTTATAAAGATATTTAAGATTCAAGATGCCAAATAGATAAGTAGCATGTCAAAAATTTAACATTTTGCATTGCATTATTCTATAAATATAAGTTGTAATGCTTTATTTTCTTTTGGCTAAATTCACTTTCATGGACAGCTTAACCTAATATTTTTGATAGTTCTAAATCATCAGTGTATTGTTACTTGAATGCTCAAAATTTGTAAAGTTTAATTTTGGCTTTGTCGTTTGTTTCTATAACAAAATTTGCTATGGGACAATTTGCTATTTGTCCCAGGAATGGGTTCATATAGCATGTCTTTTAAAAGAAAATTAGGAATTAATGATCCATGAATTAAGTATATTTAATGTTTTTAGCTTTAAATAAGTAGTGTAATTTTTCTTCATACTTAATCTACATGTATCTATGTATTTTTGTAGATCTTCATTTGATGGCAACAATTATGATTAATATTTTTGAACACAAAGTCCTTCCCAAAAAAGAGGAACCACCATTTATTAACTTTGTGTTCCAGACATTATACTTTTGGCATCCATACATCACCAGTTCCTGTTTTTTAAAAATGTTTATACAGTAGAGCATCGATTATCCAACCCCGATTAATCGTCACATTGGTTAACCGACCATTCTAGTCGGCAAATTTCAAATGTCCACTAGTGATGTGACACTATAATATTTGGCTATGACTTGGCTATTTTAATATTATTTTTGTTAAATTTTTGCGTGTTTTAGCTGGCAACACTGGCTCGACCATTGAAGGGAGGCCAGTATTTAAACGAGACTTAATTTTCTAATTATGAATGGTTGTTTGTTTTGTGAGCAATAAAATAATTTTAAAACAATTTTTAACAATACAATAGCGACGATTATTATTTTTAAAAAAATATTTGTTAGGCTTAACATCGATTAAAATTCAACGCAAAGTTGGTTAATAGCAATATACTAATATACTAATTACATGGGATATACTATACTAATAATGTACTTTTTTCATTCTTTTCGGTTATCCGATTTTTTCGTTTATCTGACCAACCTGAGTCCCCAATTGAGTCAGATAATCGATGCTCTACTGTATTTTTAATTGGATATGTGTTTTTGCTTTTAAAGGACTGTTTGGCGGCCATTAGCCTAAAAGGGAAGGTCAGTTGCCAAAAGTGTAATGTCTGGAACACAAAGTTAATAAATGGTGGTTCCTCTTTTTTGAGAAGGACTTTGTGTTCAAAAGTATTAATATATATGCTTTAATTTTTTCTGAATAGAATCTTTGAGTGTGTATTAATAAATTCAGAAGATAGAAAACTAAATTTATAAGTATTGGCCTATAATGAATGAGATTGTCAATTTTCATTTTCTGAAAATAATGATAAAATATTGCACTTTATCTTAGAAAGGAAATTTACTTATGAAATACTTTGACACTATAAATTTAAGTTCTTATTTCTTAAAAAAATTTAGATGTTAACTTTTTTTGCATTCTTTATTAAGTAGTTAACTTGTTCAATATTCAAAGGAAATATTACAATAATTTCTATTATAATTTTTAAAATTAAGCTGTTTATCTAATAGACTTTTCTACATCTATATATTAATGTAATAAAGGAATAAAAACTTTTTGAAACTTTTTTTCTTTTTACTGTAACTCCATGTTCTGTCACTATAGATTATGATTTTGATTCAGATCTAAGGTAGTAATTAATGAGTCATTGCAAATTAATAACAAAACTTGCAGATATTTTTCAGGTGCAGAAATAATAAAAAGAAATTAAAATTGATTTTATTCAAGTATTATGTATATGATTATTCAAGTGTGTGGAATTTGTTTTTACAACAGGATAATCCTCTAACTGCTTTCATCACAGCTAATCAAGAACAACAACAAATTATCTTATCTGTAAGTTATTTTATTAGATATGAGATGTTAGTCGGCAGTCTGTCTTTTGTCCTGATGTCAAGCAAAATTTGGTTCAGTTCTTTTAGCAATGTTGTTGTGTGTTGAATAGCTTTTTGTTGTTTTTGCTAGGTAAAAATAACATTTCTACTTAAGTAATAAGTTTTTGTTGTTTTTAGATTTGAGTTTGTCCTCTTACTATTAAACTTAGTTGTGAATAAATATTTATTGAATTTGAAATATTTTATATAATTTGCTTAGTTTATACAAGTCAATTTTATTTCTGGATTAAATGTTTTTTGACTCCAAAGGACATTTATGGAATTCAAACATGTTAATGGAGTTGAAGCTTAACTTCAGAAGATATATCAAATATTTCTGTTACACTTAGTTTTAATTTCTTGTAATAATTTCTGAACAATTTTAATGTTACACTTAATTTTTCAAATAGAATTAGGGAATCTTTTTACAAGTTACAGTATCTGGTATTACGAAGTTTGACAACAGGAGGAAAAAATAAAATAGTACAAAGAAGAAACAATTTCAAGTGTAAATTCCAAAATTGAAATTTGGAACTAATTTTAATTTAAAAATATAGAAATTTAATACTTAAAGTAAATTAGACCTTCACCAAGAGATTCTTATAAACTTTTCAGTTTTATTTAATAATCATTTTTAAGTTTTAGTATTTACTGTTATTTGCTGAAGAAAGCATATGAATCCATTTACGGAAATCAGATATTGTTAGCAGTTATTTAATGTTTTGTTTCAAAAATAAGTTAAAATACTTAATACATTTTAATTTTGATGTAGTAACATATGGATTTTAGCATTCAAGAATTTATTTCTTGCATTTAAATCTGGCTAAGATCACTTCCAGTCTTTAACATATTTTTTTTAGTGATAATTCACTGCTGATAATGAAAAATTGTATTGTTATTAACATTATAGTTTTGAATTTGGTTGTGAATTTTATAGTAGTATGATCCTGGAATGACATATCAGTTATTAGAACAAACAAAGATGGATCTAGAGGTGGCAATACTTGCCATTGAGTTTTTCTCAATTATACTTGTTTTTCTTTTTATAAAAACTGAGCAGTGGATCATAAAATTTGAAAATTTTTTTTAACTTTTTATAAGACAATTATATAATTATATAGGTAGTTTCTCTGAAGCTGAATCTATAACAGAAGAAGCAAATGATGTATACACTTTAGGAAATGAGACTACCAACTTGTGCTAAGTTTTGTTTTGGTTTATAAAAATTTGGAGCAAAAATGACTCAGATTAGGACTATAATCCACAATTTATGTAGCTGTGTTACCAATTATTGGGTTGTTTGGAAAGTAATTTTGTTTTTTACCACCAGAGGGATTAGTTGTATTTTTATCCACCAGTTTCATTTTAAATTGTATTGTCGCCATATATTTTGACAGCTGACGTTTCAAGGCTTATTTGTAAAAAATTTTGTTTCATTCTTTGCAATTGTGGTTTTTTCCCCCAATCAAATATGGAAAATTGAAAGCAGCCTTTTTGGCATATTTTGCTTTTTTATTACTGAAAAGGTAAGAATTAGTGATTGCAAATTTACCAGGTATTATATTACCAGTAATTTGGTAATTATATTCGGGATTATCGGTTTATCTGTAATTTACAGGTAAATTCGTATTAACAAATGATTTAAAATGAAACTGAATTACTGACAGAATTATTGGATAACCATTTATTTTCAAGTTTTCTATCAGTTTAGACAAACAATTCTTGTAATAGCAATTATCACCACATAAGAAACATTGAAGTAATGCTGATAATGTTTTTCTTTATTTTGAAAGTAGGCTTTTAACAAACATTAGACAATGAGAGCCTATATGTATTATCTATGTAGATCTAATTTTGTACAAATGGCAGCTGCATTAGAAAAAGCTCTCTCAGAATCAATATACTAGTTGGACGTACTGTTATTAGAGCATTGAAAACCTTTTTAAGATACGTTCCTTGTTTTTTTGCTCTAAGAAATAATTCATTTCTTTTTAAACTATGTTTTTCACACTTTTAAACTTACTTATATTACTGTTATCACTGTCTATGCTCATTTTATGTTTAATGAATAAGTCCAATTTCTCTTCCATTGTTAAATTTGACTTTTCTATTGTGCACTTTGTTCTCATGTTGACGTGAAAAGTTGATAGTGTAGTAAGTAATGAACATCTCTTCATAATTTATTTTCATTTTCTGATAAGTGCTTGATTGTTTCTACAATCTCATTCAAAATTATATTTTTGTTAACATTATTAGATATTTTGTGTAACTTATATTTGTTCAATTTTCTGGGTTATTTTCTGGGTACTCCAAAATCAAGACCTATTTTTGGAGTATAATACAAGCAATCAAGTTATAAAAGACTAGAAAATTCCTTTTAATAACCTTAAATTACAAATGGAATGACCCATCACCACTTGCACTGTTTTCTTGCTATGGTATGGGGGAGACAAAAAAGAAATCTTCTTCCCATGGGTAGTTCTGGTGGAAATTTTAGGAAAATAAATATCAAGTTAATTAAGAGGTTTTTTTAAAACTGAAATACCAGTAAAAAATTAATTACTGATAAATTTACCAGGGTATAATTTTTCTAATTTACTGGTATACTGGTAATGCAATCACTAGTAAGAATGCTGTTCAAGCAAGAAAAAAAATTGTGTGATGTGTACAGAGATGTGTTGACAGAACAACAATGGCAAAGCTGGTTTGCAAAATTTCGTTCCAGCAATTTTGATATTGAAAATGCACCATGTTCTGGAAAGCCAGTTGAAACTGATGAAGAAAAAATAAAGGTATTGATTGACGCAAACCACTGTAGTGCCGAACGGAACAACAAAATGTTCCCACATTATGTTGAGGCAGGAGTGTAAAGGATCTTACAAATAAGCACACTTCAGAAACTGGTCAATATCTATTATCCTTTATATTACTTAGGATCATTGATACACAACATCTGTTATAACAGCTACAGTTAACCTGTCTTGCGACAATGCAATATGCTGGTGAGGCCTAATAACGTATATGTACCCGACAATTATATCAGAGTGAAAAATACCAATTTAAATAAATGTGTGTATATATATATATATACACAAGTATGTACAAATCACATAAGATGCACAATACACATTTTTCCGGGCAACCATCAATTATTCCATGATATCTCTCCCACGGTTGGCCTTTTTTTCCAAGCCATGTGTAGTTTGTATAAACAGGAGAGGAATTATTATTATCCTTACCTTCTTCACAATGAAGTAATGTTTGTTATATATTCAACTTAAATAGTACTTTCTCTTGGTAAGGAAACTTAGATAAAGATCCAATCTTCTGTGCGGATGCAAGGCGATTTTCCTTTTATTTATTTTGTTGTTGAATTGTCCCTTTCTCTACGATGAGTGACAATCCTCATCTCATCATCAGAAGTTCAAACGATCCCCTGTCCAGGTAGTGAGCCGACCAACGGAAAAACCAGAAGAAAAAAGATCCTCTCTAACATGTGGCATTGCGATTTATAATGCCTGCCATCTGGGACTATGGTTACATTCACGTGGTACAAAGCCGACCAATCCTCTTTCTGCTTACAAACACCCGTCAAAAGAGGATACGGTATCATGAAACAACTCACCCATGCGACAATACTTTGAATACCAACACAGAAAAACAACAAGATATATATACACACAAACAAAAATGTAAAACTAATAATAATAGTGACCGATCACTATATATCTCCCTCTTTTTAAATCAATGCCCGAAATGCAACTTTCGGAAATCGATCTTCCTTTCCCTTAGATTGTACAGCCTAGCATCTTGAACCGTCTCCTCACCTTGATGTTCAGACCTATCACTGGTAACTGACACTCCCTTCAACCTTACAACGTTCCACCAGGTGCATGTCAACGCCCTCCTCGTCTTCACATAGATCAACACTCTCAACCTCCCTCTCCCTAGGTTTTCTCCTATAACTGGTCTGATCCAACCCATAGCATAATTTTAGTCTATTGACATATACAGTATCTACATCCTGTTTATTGCACCCCTCCACTCTATACGTGGTTGGATTTATCACTTTTGTTATCCAGAATGGCCCCAAATAGTTAGGGGAGAACTTATTCTTCTTCTTTTCCTTTTGCCGAACCCATAACTTTTGCCCCTCACTGAAGGACAATAATTTCTTCCCCTTGTTAGGATAGTCTTTATTCCTTTTCTGCCTAATGCAGGCTTGCTTACCAGCTAAGTCCTTTAACACATGCAATTTAGTTAGAAGGTGTGACTTACATTCATTAGTAGTCATTTGGCTTGTCATACAACTGAAAGCATGGGTTTGCGGATCTGTGCCGAACAGAAGGAAGGCAGGTGACTCATTCAAAGCGGAGTGATGGGAGTTATTATAAGCAAAGCAAGCAGGGGCAATGAGATCATCCCACTCCAGGGTACCTTCACCAGAAGTCTTGGAAATCCTTTCAATTAGTGATTTATTAGCCCTTTTGCACATCCCATTGGCACATGAGCAATAGGTCGTAGTTATATTCCTCCGTATTCCCAACCATTCACAGCAATCGGCAAAAAGGGATGACAAAAAGTTGGTTCTGCGGTCTGATACAATCACTTTGGGAACCCCGTACTTACAAATAACCTTGTCGAATATTAAATTACTAATAGACCATGCAGTTTGATCCTTAATTGGATGGGCTTCCATGAAGTGTGTGCATACGTCTGCAATCACCAGGATAAACCAATTGCCGCATTTGGTGAAGTTGATGAGGCCAATGATATCAATAGCACCTTTTGGAGTGGGATGCTCGCCTTTTCATTTTCTTGAAGGAGAGGCCTTCCCTCTGGATATTATAATGTTGGCACTTCTCACAATTTCTTATCACCTCTTCGACTACCTTCTTCAAATTCCTCACAAAATCCCCCCTCTACTAATTTAACTGTTTTAGATACCCCCAGTGTCCCGCTAATTGATTCTCATGGATGGCCTTAATTAAACTCTTAGCTATACCAACTAAACAGATTTCTTTTTTTACCTTTTCAATATATTTGTTAAATATATTAGATGATTCAATGAAGAATAAAATTTACTTTTTATGCGTTGCTAGAAAAACTAAATGATTGAAAAAGCTACATCTTCATAAATGATTGTCAAATGTCTGACCATTTATAATAATAAAATTTGATAGAGTAGTTTTTAACTTTTTGTAAATTTAGTCCACAAAATTAATACTTATACTACACTTTAGATTAAAATTTCACTATTTAGACTCTTCTGTAAAACATTTCATTTATGGTAACTCATCACCTTAGTCTATATTAAGTTGAGTTTCAGGGACTCTACTGTACCTATTTTCTACAATTTACAAAAATGTTAGCAATTTTCTGTAATAAGTTTTAAACATCTTAAATTTCTTTTTTAGTATTCATTTTGTAACTAAAACTAAAAATTGTTCAAGTATTAAATATGGTTTAAGAACTTCATAATGATAACATTCCATTTTTATAGTCTGAAGTAGATATGAGCAATATTTTCAAAGTATTTAAAAAAAAAAAATCAAACTGAAGAAGCCGAACTTGGAAAGTAATTAAGCTTTCATATCTACAACTAAAATATTTTTGTCATGTTTACATATTGAATTTATTTTTACTAAATTAAACAGAATTTTGACAAAAAAAAGTTTTAATTTTGAATTTTATACTCTGAATTCATTATTTTATAATCTTTATAAAAATTTCTTCTACAGATGTTAGAAAGCATGGTTAAGAAACCAAGACCAACTCGTGCAGAAGGATCTGACGTCGCTAATGCCGTTTTGGATGGAGCCGATTGCGTAATGTTGTCTGGAGAAACCGCCAAAGGAGATTATCCTCTACATGCAGTGAGAGTAATGGCTGCAATATGTGTAGAAGCAGAAGCTGCTGTCTTCCATAGACATGTCTTTACAGAACTTACTGCTAAAACTCCAGTTCCTACTGATTCCACTCATACACTGGCAATTGCTGCTGTCAGTGCATCCATGAAATGCTTGGCTTCAGCAATTATAGTCATTACAACAACTGGAAGGTATTTGAAATTTATGTATTAGAAATTATTATGAAATTTTTATTGTAGTTTATTGATATATTCTATTAGTGTGATTAACAGAAAGTATATTTAGATTTTTTTTTTTACTCTAAAATGTAAGTATTTAACAATCAAATATGAAACAGTTTGTTTTATAAATCACATATCAATAATTTTATACATATTTTTTTGTTATTTAATAATTTATTACTTGTTTTTTAAATTAATTTTTTTGTTTCCTGTTGCCAAACAACTAATGGGTACTTGAATGTGAGACAATCATTCACAATTTCCATAAATATTTTTTATCTGATTGCATTCATTAAATAATGACAAATCAGTTTTCAAATGAAAACATTAAGAATCTTTAGTTTTCTCCCTCTCCCTGAAGAAAATTAGTTATTTCAATGCTCTGTTTATGTACTGATCTTGATGGATTACTGTAATATAACCTCATTTGGGTTCAGTAGTAAGTTAGGGGATGGGATTTGTTTAGAACTAATGTAAACTTGTGATATGGTTTGAAACAAATGATATCAAATGACTATTCTTTTATTACCATGTTCTGATCTTAAATTTAACTCTGATAGCTTAAAATTGCAAGATATGTTAAAATGTTATGTTTGAATAAAACAGTATTATGTGCATTTGAATAATTTGTGCTTATTGACCTATTTGTGTACAGGCACAATGAAGTGACGTTTTTTTCAACACTGGGCTAGTTGAATCTTTTATTTAGTTAGAACGTTTTTTCCATACATCAACGTTTCGGGCATCAGCCCCTCTTCAGTTAACTAAATATATATAAAAATATTTAACAGGACACAAATAAAACCAAAAAACTCACATAAATTCTTTGTAAACCATACCTCATTTCAGCATGGANTGACACTTGTTTTTTTTTTGTTAGCTTTATCAAAGCATCCATTGAGATAAATTTAAGTTTTATTAAATACTTGTGAGATATCACAAATGATTAAAAAAATATCAGTAAGTGAATTTTTATGATCTATATAAGCTGTATTAACCTTTTTACCATAAACAAAATGAAATTAAATAAGTTTATAGGAGTATTTTTTTAGTAGCATTAACAATTTTTTTTAAAATTATACAATGTACTGATTTTATATTCATTAATCATAATGAAGATTACTAAGTGTTTTGATTCATTTTTCTAATTGCTTAACTTAAAAACTCAAACTTTCTATGCATAATTTTGTAATGCAAATTAAGAACAGAAGAAATTAAGAAAAAAAAAATGATTATCCTTGAACATATTTTTTTTTAATTATACAATAATTAAGACCTTTTCAGTAGTTATGTACTGAGGATTTAGCTGTGTGAAGTTAACACTATTTTTAGTATGAAAAGAGATATATTAAAAGTGCATACTAAACTATTAAGATGATCAGACTTCATACTGTGGTGGTTTTTCCCAGACTTACTTTTCAATTTTCAAGTTGCTTTATTCATGGATCTATAAAATACTTTACAATTATGAACACTTAAACTAATTTCTTTATAAAGATATTTAAGATTCAAGATGCCAAATAGATAAGTAGCATGTCAAAAATTTAACATTTTGCATTGCATTATTCTATAAATATAAGTTGTAATGCTTTATTTTCTTTTGGCTAAATTCACTTTCATGGACAGCTTAACCTAATATTTTTGATAGTTCTAAATCATCAGTGTATTGTTACTTGAATGCTCAAAATTTGTAAAGTTTAATTTTGGCTTTGTCGTTTGTTTCTATAACAAAATTTGCTATGGGACAATTTGCTATTTGTCCCAGGAATGGGTTCATATAGCATGTCTTTTAAAAGAAAATTAGGAATTAATGATCCATGAATTAAGTATATTTAATGTTTTTAGCTTTAAATAAGTAGTGTAATTTTTCTTCATACTTAATCTACATGTATCTATGTATTTTTGTAGATCTTCATTTGATGGCAACAATTATGATTAATATTTTTGAACACAAAGTCCTTCCCAAAAAAGAGGAACCACCATTTATTAACTTTGTGTTCCAGACATTATACTTTTGGCATCCATACATCACCAGTTCCTGTTTTTTAAAAATGTTTATACAGTAGAGCATCGATTATCCAACCCCGATTAATCATCACATTGGTTAACCGACCATTCTAGTCGGCAAATTTCAAATGTCCACTAGTGATGTGACACTATAATATTTGGCTATGACTTGGCTATTTTAATATTATTTTTGTTAAATTTTTGCGTGTTTTAGCTGGCAACACTGGCTCGACCATTGAAGGGAGGCCAGTATTTAAACGAGACTTAATTTTCTAATTATGAATGGTTGTTTGTTTTGTGAGCAATAAAATAATTTTAAAACAATTTTTAACAATACAATAGCGACGATTATTATTTTTAAAAAAATATTTGTTAGGCTTAACATCGATTAAAATTCAACGCAAAGTTGGTTAATAGCAATATACTAATATACTAATTACATGGGATATACTATACTAATAATGTACTTTTTTCATTCTTTTCGGTTATCCGATTTTTTCGTTTATCTGACCAACCTGAGTCCCCAATTGAGTCAGATAATCGATGCTCTACTGTATTTTTAATTGGATATGTGTTTTTGCTTTTAAAGGACTGTTTGGCGGCCATTAGCCTAAAAGGGAAGGTCAGTTGCCAAAAGTGTAATGTCTGGAACACAAAGTTAATAAATGGTGGTTCCTCTTTTTTGAGAAGGACTTTGTGTTCAAAAGTATTAATATATATGCTTTAATTTTTTCTGAATAGAATCTTTGAGTGTGTATTAATAAATTCAGAAGATAGAAAACTAAATTTATAAGTATTGGCCTATAATGAATGAGATTGTCAATTTTCATTTTCTGAAAATAATGATAAAATATTGCACTTTATCTTAGAAAGGAAATTTACTTATGAAATACTTTGACACTATAAATTTAAGTTCTTATTTCTTAAAAAAATTTAGATGTTAACTTTTTTTGCATTCTTTATTAAGTAGTTAACTTGTTCAATATTCAAAGGAAATATTACAATAATTTCTATTATAATTTTTAAAATTAAGCTGTTTATCTAATAGACTTTTCTACATCTATATATTAATGTAATAAAGGAATAAAAACTTTTTGAAACTTTTTTTCTTTTTACTGTAACTCCATGTTCTGTCACTATAGATTATGATTTTGATTCAGATCTAAGGTAGTAATTAATGAGTCATTGCAAATTAATAACAAAACTTGCAGATATTTTTCAGGTGCAGAAATAATAAAAAGAAATTAAAATTGATTTTATTCAAGTATTATGTATATGATTATTCAAGTGTGTGGAATTTGTTTTTACAACAGGATAATCCTCTAACTGCTTTCATCACAGCTAATCAAGAACAACAACAAATTATCTTATCTGTAAGTTATTTTATTAGATATGAGATGTTAGTCGGCAGTCTGTCTTTTGTCCTGATGTCAAGCAAAATTTGGTTCAGTTCTTTTAGCAATGTTGTTGTGTGTTGAATAGCTTTTTGTTGTTTTTGCTAGGTAAAAATAACATTTCTACTTAAGTAATAAGTTTTTGTTGTTTTTAGATTTGAGTTTGTCCTCTTACTATTAAACTTAGTTGTGAATAAATATTTATTGAATTTGAAATATTTTATATAATTTGCTTAGTTTATACAAGTCAATTTTATTTCTGGATTAAATGTTTTTTGACTCCAAAGGACATTTATGGAATTCAAACATGTTAATGGAGTTGAAGCTTAACTTCAGAAGATATATCAAATATTTCTGTTACACTTAGTTTTAATTTCTTGTAATAATTTCTGAACAATTTTAATGTTACACTTAATTTTTCAAATAGAATTAGGGAATCTTTTTACAAGTTACAGTATCTGGTATTACGAAGTTTGACAACAGGAGGAAAAAATAAAATAGTACAAAGAAGAAACAATTTCAAGTGTAAATTCCAAAATTGAAATTTGGAACTAATTTTAATTTAAAAATATAGAAATTTAATACTTAAAGTAAATTAGACCTTCACCAAGAGATTCTTATAAACTTTTCAGTTTTATTTAATAATCATTTTTAAGTTTTAGTATTTACTGTTATTTGCTGAAGAAAGCATATGAATCCATTTACGGAAATCAGATATTGTTAGCAGTTATTTAATGTTTTGTTTCAAAAATAAGTTAAAATACTTAATACATTTTAATTTTGATGTAGTAACATATGGATTTTAGCATTCAAGAATTTATTTCTTGCATTTAAATCTGGCTAAGATCACTTCCAGTCTTTAACATATTTTTTTTAGTGATAATTCACTGCTGATAATGAAAAATTGTATTGTTATTAACATTATAGTTTTGAATTTGGTTGTGAATTTTATAGTAGTATGATCCTGGAATGACATATCAGTTATTAGAACAAACAAAGATGGATCTAGAGGTGGCAATACTTGCCATTGAGTTTTTCTCAATTATACTTGTTTTTCTTTTTATAAAAACTGAGCAGTGGATCATAAAATTTGAAAATTTTTTTTAACTTTTTATAAGACAATTATATAATTATATAGGTAGTTTCTCTGAAGCTGAATCTATAACAGAAGAAGCAAATGATGTATACACTTTAGGAAATGAGACTACCAACTTGTGCTAAGTTTTGTTTTGGTTTATAAAAATTTGGAGCAAAAATGACTCAGATTAGGACTATAATCCACAATTTATGTAGCTGTGTTACCAATTATTGGGTTGTTTGGAAAGTAATTTTGTTTTTTACCACCAGAGGGATTAGTTGTATTTTTATCCACCAGTTTCATTTTAAATTGTATTGTCGCCATATATTTTGACAGCTGACGTTTCAAGGCTTATTTGTAAAAAATTTTGTTTCATTCTTTGCAATTGTGGTTTTTTCCCCCAATCAAATATGGAAAATTGAAAGCAGCCTTTTTGGCATATTTTGCTTTTTTATTACTGAAAAGGTAAGAATTAGTGATTGCAAATTTAC